ATGTTTCTGGACCAGCTCTCTCAAGAAAGCGTCCGGTGAGCTTTTACAGCAGAATCGTGTGGTATTGGATTAAGAATCATTAGCCTATCTGTTGTGTTCATCGAAAAACTTTCTATTCTTCTGACTTTGTACATGTACTTGATACTAGTAATCTTCCGTTATGTCATATTTTTAGAACCAGGCAGTAACTCATTTTCTATCTCTGTCTATTTACAGAGCCAGATGAATAATTTACATGTTATTTAGAACATTTCGAAGCAACCTTTGTTGGATAAGCAAATAAGTTGATCATAATTAACCTAGTTTACACAGAGACATACTTTAATGATGACATTGTGATCATGTACAGCTAAAGTATCACCAACTCATGAAGGAGTATAATCACCCTTTTTTCTCTGTTAGCCTTATCATGTTGCTTTTCTTTCACGGTTTCTTTTAGTTGTTGGGTGCTGGAGTTGGACCGTATTTAATCTCTGGGACATATTCAACTATTATATCTACCAAATAACAGCACATGTATGTTTGATAGATCTAGCAAATGTGTTAACAGTTAAAACTGTTATGTAGGTATAGTGCCATTCTAACAAAGTTATTCTGCAGTATCTTTTGGATCTCAAAGAACTTTGAAGGAGAAGCTAATATGGTGGAGCCATGGTATGGGACTGCATACAGTATCGAGAAAGTTCCTACCTCCATGATTCAGGTGGGCTTCTGATATTGTTAATGTCCTTCACTGATTACTAGTACTAGTTATCTATATGGACATTGTGATTATGTTAGTATTTGTCTCATTGCAGAATTGGGTGCAATCAGCTCCTGACAAGAATCTGCATCTTCCATTACCTAATGTGTTTGTCCCTACTGACTTGTCAGTCAAGGACGCAAAAGAGAAGGTTTGGATCAATATGCGGTAATTGCTTTTTGGCTGGGTTAATATCATTGTGGGTCTATATTTGTAACAGTAAGCTTTTGAAGCAGGTTGTATTACCCACTTTATTGAGGAAGTCATCCTGCTTGTCATTGTGGTACAAGCCTGATACAATGTTCTTCACGCCAAAGGCATATATAAAGATTGATTTCAGTTGCCCTCTTGCTAGTGCTTCCCCTGAGGCTTCAGTACTTAAAGATATATTTGCACGCTTGTTGATGGATTACTTGAATGAATATGGTAATCTTTGATAATCTTTGTGCAATTAAAGTGCGACATGATGATTGATTAATTTAATAAATACACACTGGAAGGTTCGCTTGAGTTTCCTGTTTGTTTATTTTTGTTTCTAACAGAAATGTTGTTTGCTCATTTTTCAGCCTATTATGCGCAAGTTGCTGGTTTGTACTACGGAATAGGCAAGACAAACAGTGGGTTTCAGGTTTGTCTTAACCTGACAATTGTAGTGTTTATACCCTAGAAGAAACACTTAAATTTAGATGCTCTTAATCCTTCCATAAATAGTGACATATGGTGACTTATGTATTGATTATATTAAGTAAGATCTAAAAGCTCATGTATTAATATCTAAAATACAGATAATGATGCTAATAGAAGTCTTGAATATTCCCTTCCCAGTCTTCTGTTTTGGGGCCAGTGGTTAAGTTGACATAGATATAGGAACTCACTTTGGTTTTCCTGTGAGATTGAATGTCAACACTCAACAGTCATGGGTTTATGTTGATAAATTAATTTTCTCCTGAAGTTTGATATTCTTCAGTTTGTAGACACAGTATACCTACCCGAATGAGATACGCACTGAAGTATTTTGTAATTTATACATTTATGTGAGCCAATGTGCTATCTAACGAATGGCTGAGTTTCTTTTTGTTTGTTTTTATGATTGTAGTGGTTACATTATGTTCTGAACATGTGCAATATTAATGTCTGCATGCGTACATGCAGAACTTTTCTTTTCCTTTGTTATTGTTTTGGATGTCTCTTATGTATGTTTTCCTGCCTTTGACATTAGGTGACTGTGCTTGGTTATAATCACAAATTGAGGATCTTGTTAGAAACTGTTATAGAGAAAATAGCTACGTTCAAAGTCGATCCTGACAGGTTTGCTGTGATCAAGGTAATAATCAGCTTGTTCATGTTTTCTTACAACCTATTTTCTTATGAGAGGATTCAAAGCATCGTTCTGATTCAGTCAGGTCGTTTTGCTTGTGAAATTGTTTAAACGTGGATGGTTCCAGCTGACCATAAAAGTTACACATTGGTCTATAGAATACTCAGAACATATCCTAATGCTGTACATATTATGGTTAACTGCGGCTTCTTGTGAATTTATTACTACAATGTTTTCCTGTTTCTTTGTCAGACTACTACTTAAATACTAGTTGAATTTCCCCCTGTTTTGTCTGCTAAATTACCAGAGTCCTATTCTTGCAGAAAGCTGCAGTCTCTTTTCCTTTCCGTCCTTTCATCCTTGCGCCTCATGTTGCTTGTCTTTGGACGTCTCCTGATCGAGCCCTTGAGGGAAATGAGTGGATTTTGAGATAAGCTAGATTTATATCATTACATTCCCTGGTATTTTACAGGAAACAGTGATGAAGGAATATGAAAATTACAAGTTTCAGCAACCTTATCAGCAGGCTATGTACTATTGCTCTTTAATACTACAAGATCAAACTTGGCCTTGGATGGAAGAACTTGAAGTCCTTTCTCAACTTCAGGCTGATGATCTAGCTAGGTTCACACCAATGATGATGTCAAGAGCATTCTTGGAGTGCTACATAGCAGGTTTTAAATCTCATCTTCTTTCCCAGTAAACAACGTTAGGCAGGATTAACCTTGAACTGCCAGACTTTGTGTCCTGGGGCAGGGCAAACTGACTAAACCAAACTGCCTTTCTATTCCGATCTCCCTTTTGTAAAGTATTCTCAATCATTGTATGTCCAAAGGTTTAGATCTTACTAGGAAGATGAGGCATTTTAGTCATAGCAGCGCAGGCAGCAGTCAGTTTTGTAACCCTTTGTTTGTTTAAGAACTCGTTTTTTGTGGTTTATTCCAGGGAACATTGAACGTGATGAAGCAGAATCAATAAGTACTCAAATTGAAGATGCCTTTTTCAAGGGTCCAAAACCGATATCCCAACCCTTATTCTCCTCTCAACATCTGACTAATAGAGTTGTCAAACTGGACCGGGGCATGGATTACATCTATCCTGTTGAGGGCTTAAACACAAAAGATGAGAATTCTGCTTTGGTGCATTATATCCAGGTAGCTATAATTTTATTCAGTTTGCTGTTAACTTCCCCTATGCGATCTTTAGGTTGCCGGCTTTTTGACCCGTGTGAGAATCGATTGTTTCCAGAGCCTTTTTTTCCTGAGCGCAGATGTGAACAAAGTCCTTACTCGATACCGTATACTAATTTTTTGCAATATCAGAATCACTTTCAGTAGTTTAAATATTCAACGAGTACTCTTGTGAAGATTGCTTAGCAGTTTGATGAGTTTTGTGTTTTATGTAATAGGTTCATCGAGATGATTTTAAGCTGAACGTTAAGCTTCAGCTTTTCGGTTTACTTGCAAAGCAAGCAGCGTTCCATCAGCTTAGATCAGTGGAGCAACTTGGCTACATCACGGTCCTCATGCAGAGGTAATGGGCTTATTATCTCCAGATTGTGCATTGTATCCAGACTCACCTTTTGCATTCTCAAGGGTTGGCTGTTTTCCCAATCATAAAAAAGGTGGACTGTGTTTCTTAATTCTTTTGCACAGGAATGATTCTGGCATCCGTGGACTGCAGTTTATCATCCAGTCAACAGTTAAAGTGTGTAGAACTTCCTTTCCCAATTCTCTTCACCTTGTTCTCGCTGCAGAATTTTTTCTAATTTTGGCCATTCTACAGGGCCCCGGCCAGATTGATCTGAGAGTCAAGAATTTTCTCAGTATGTATGAAAGTAAACTACGAGAGATGTCCAATGACGAATTCAAGGTGAAGTAACTATGCCCGCTAGTTTTCATATCTTAAGGCTTAGTCATGCTATGATACAGCAAATTCTGATTTGGGCTTGGTGCAGAGTAATGTGAATGCATTGATCGACATGAAACTCGAAAAGCTGAAGAATTTAAGGGAAGAGTCTTCTTTATACTGGCGTGAGATTTCTGACGGGACGCTCAAGTTTGACAGGAAGGAATGCGAGGTAATTGAGAAATTGATGCTATGTTGTCTAAGTAACCAAATAACTCAGAATTGATAACAGGTTCTTGAAGTTTTCCAAACAGGATATAAATGCATGGCTCTTCTAAATTGTCTCTGAATTGAAACAGGTGGCAGCCCTGCGACAGCTAACTCAGGACGAGCTGCTAGAGTTCTTCAACGACTACATAAAGGTCGATGCGCCTCAGAAGAGGACACTCAGCATTCGAGTATACGGCAGCCCACATTCATCGGAGTTGGCAGCAGATAGAAGCGAACAACTCCCTCCAAACTGCTTCGAGATCGGGGACATCTTTACGTTCAGAAGATCACAACCTCTTTATGGTTCATTCCGAGGCGGCGTTGGCCACATGAAGCTGTAGTGGATGATCCAAGCTAGCAGTTTTTCTTTTACTCAGTGCTCTTAACTCAACTTGAAAAGTACTGATTTGGGACATGACTAGATTTACTGGCTCTCTAGAGTTTTACTTCTTGCTCGATTTGGTGTATACCAATCATGACTCACCAATTTATGAAAGTTTTGAACTTTGCCTAAAACTTGAGAGTTGGATTTTGATTACCATTGCCGGAAAGATGAAATGGGGCAGTGACCCTTTTCCTTTTCCTCTTAGGGAATCAGGGAAAACGATTAAAAGACAAGTCGTTGAACAGAATCTCCGGCTAATTTATACAGAAAAGGCCATACAACATTGACTAGGACTGGACTGACTCACTGCCGACGGGGCCCCGGAACTGCCGGCCTGTTTCCTGCCGGCTACTTTTCCGGTCAAAAACAAAAAAGGAAAGCAAAAGGGGAAAAAGCCAGTCGTCTCCCGGATTGGGAGTATCAATCCAACCAGAGAATCATCCCCTCGCCGCCAGATCATCTCCCGGATTCGAAGCACCCGACCCGCGAAGCGACCCGACGCGGGTCCGGTTCCGGATCCGCTTCAGCTCCTCCACCACCTCCTTGGCGTGCGGCCGGTCGTCTTTATCCGCCGCCACGCACTGGAACGCCAGCTCCGCCACCGCGTCCACGCCTTCCATGGCCCCGTCTTCCTTCTTCAGAATCGGGTCGATCACCTGGTGGAGCAGCCCCATTTGGATCCTCGACACCGCCAAATCGGCCAGCGCCATCTCCCGCTTCTCCCGTCTCTGGTCCACCGCTCTCATCCCGGAAATCAGCTCCAGCAACACCACCCCGAAGCTGTACACATCGCTCTTCTCCGTCAGCCGGAACGACTTGTGGTAATCCGGATCCAAATACCCCGGCGTCCCCTGCGGCCCGGTCCAGACAAACCCGGCCGACGAAGAAGTGGACGACGAATTCGTCGTCTCCGGGAAGACCAGCAACCTCGACAGCCCAAAATCCCCGACTTTGATCCTCATATCCCTCTCCACGAATATGTTGTTCGACGTAATGTCCCTGTGAACAATCGCGGGCTTGACGGAGAAATGCAAGTACTCCAAAGCCAACGCCATCTGCAGAGCAATGTCCAGCCTCACCTGCCAATTCATCGCCGATTTCCGATGGGTGCCGTGGAGGTGGTCTGCCAGTGTTCCGTTGGGGACGTAATCATACACCAACAGCAAACCCCTCGGGTCGCTGCAGTACCCGTGGAGCCTGACGAGATTCGGGTGATCTATCGAAGACAGAATCAAGATTTCGTTACAGAACGACTTGGCGGAGAAGGCGGCCGCGTGGTGGTGCTGCTTGTGGAGATACTTCACAGCAACAATCCTCCCGTCGAACAGCTGCCCCAAGTAAACCGACCCGAACCCGCCGTCCCCAATCTTCCTCTTCGGGTCGAACCGGTTCGTCGACGCTTCAAGCTCCTCGTAGGTGAACACCGGAGGGAGCAAGCTGGCCGAGCGGTGACGGTGGAGGAACGTCGTCGTCGGATCCTCCTCCGCCACAAGCGCCTTCAAGTGCCTGGACCTGAAAACCGCCGCCACAATCAAGACCACGAGAAGCAAACACATAACCGTGAAAATCGAGCAGAGGATCGCAATCCGATTCGTATCCTCGTCGCGAATCCATGGCGAAATCCGGGCGGCGGAGCGGAAGCAAACGAACTTCTTCTCCGGATCGGAGGAGTTAAACCCACAAACCCCATTCCCAGATCGACAGATTTTGCAGCTGGAGAAATACTCGTCGTCCTCATCGTACTCGACCTCGAACCCAATCTGGAGGAAGTGGAGGAGATAGTCTAGGACGTCGGACTGGCATCCCTGCTGCGAGGGGTGGCGGAGAGGGGAGGAGGAGCAGGAGGGGAGGAGGCGGAGAGGGGTTTTGACGAAGGAGCAGTCTGAAGGGCAGAGAGAGCAATTAGGGAGGCTGGGAGGGGAGCAAGAGCGGAGGGCGGAGAGGCGGGAGCAGGAGGAGTCGGCGAGGCGGAAAGGGGTGCCGGAGAAGTGGAGGGACGGAGGAAGGGCAGAGCAGTTATGGCGGGGGAGAAGGAGACGAGGGGAGAGGGAAAGGGAGGAGGAATTAGGGCGGAAGGCTAGGACGGAGAAGGAGGCGTTTGCGAGGGAGAGGATGGAGTGAGGGGAAGCGCATTTGAGAGTGAAGGAAGGGTGGCCGCAGCCAGGGGAGGAGGAGAATGGGTACGGCGGCGGCGACGGGAATGGCGGGCAGGGAGTGGAATGTTGGGAGTTGCAGGAGTGAGATGCTGCTGCTGCAGCGGCGGCGGTGGAGAGAATGAGAAGGAGGAGGAAGGGGAATGGAGGAGGTGGGCGAGGCATCAATGGAGATTGTTTGAGAAATGGATGGATCTGGAGAAGAGATTTTACAGAGTTACAGGGAGAGATTTGGAGCCGAGGGTGGACTCTCTGTGTGAAGTGGGACTCGAGGACGACTGTGGGGAAAATAAAAGAAAAGAAGGAAGAAGGGAAGGGCTCACGTGTAGAAGGACTAGGTCACGTGCATGTGGAGAAGTGTGATTATTATTGTCATTAATTTCCTTTTTACTGCCATATTTTTGAATTTCCCACGGCCAGATATAAAGAAAGAACGAACAAAGGTTCTGCATTGACTCCGGGTCGCTGCGAACTGGGAGCGGGTCTCCTCTCCTCCATTTCTGTCTGCTACGAATCACGATTGTTCTTCAGAGTGCCAAGCTAGACCTAGAAGTCTTCCCCCGGTTCTGTTTCCGAATTTGGAAGACGAAGAAGAACAGCAACAATAATGGCGGTGAGCAGAGACGAGATCGTGAAGCCTCGAACGGACAAGAGGGAGTACAGAAGGATCGTTCTCAGTAATTCGCTTCAAGTTCTTCTCATAAGCGATCCAGAAACCGATAAGGCAAGCGTTTTCCTTCCTTCCTTCTATCCTTCGTTTCGTTCCGGACTGCGGTCGGCTCCACCTTCAGTTAACGAAGTTTGAACTTGTTTCAGTCTGCTGCTTCCATGGACGTCGGCGTTGGTTCTTTCAGCGACCCCGTGGGACTCGAAGGCCTTGCTCATTTCCTCGGTGCTGTTTCTTTCTTACGTGATTTCAATTCTCCGATTTGAGTTCGTTCTAGTGAAGTCGTAATTATGCGACGCGGAAGTTCTTCTTCCCTCAGTCTTAACATACGATTGAAGTGAAATCATGATTTTGACGCTTCTGTATTCCTGTTGTTGCTTTTTTTTTTCTTCCGCAGAGCACATGCTGTTTTATGCTAGTGAGAAGTACCCGTTGGAGGATAGCTATTCCAAGTACATCAGTGAGGTATTGTACCCAATCGGTTCATGGGAGATGAAATCTTGACTTCTTTCGTTTTCTATAAGGTGTTAAGTAGAGTCATTTGCTACTCTACTCGTTTAACAGTATATTGTGCAAGTTCAATTCCTTTCTTGTTTGACAAAGATGATGCGTTCCATTAGCCATACTTGGGCTAGATAGAGAATTATTTGGTGAATGTAGAAGTATTTTAGGACTACATTTACTGGACATACGTCGTACACATGCTTTTGCAATTGCTTAGAATCACAAGCCTATCCCAATATCATATTCCCACTGCAGTGGACTATAAAGCTCATACACTCGTTTACTCTATTATTCGTGGAGGATCCTCTTCATCCTGACAAATTCGCCCGATTGATTTCTTATCTGTTCACTGCATATTTTTGTATGTTTTTGCTATGTCATACTTTTTCTTGAGGTTGGTGGTCGCGTGATGGTTTCTTCTGTCCCTTGTGCGTAGTTATGTTTATCAGAACCTAAAAGATGATCTCCGTAGAGGAGCCGGAGTTGTGGCTTCATAATTGGTTTTGAAACTTGATTACTTATCATCATTGTATTGATGAAGCATATCTCTGTTGGGAGATTTCTCAGCATGCCACATGAACTGCTGATCAACCGGTTATTTGTGATTCTTAGCATGGCGGGCACACCAATGCGTTTACTGATTCTGAGCAAACCAACTACCATTTTGATGTCAACAGCGACTGTTTTGAAGAGGCTTTGGACAGGTATCACATGTGATTTTCAAGATCTTTTTCTCGTTATTGACATTGATTACAAATTTATGATATGTTGGTGGCATGTGATTGAATTTCAGATTTGCTCAGTTCTTTATTAAACCGCTCATGTCAGCTGATGCAACAACGAGGGAAATTAAAGCTGTTGATTCTGGTAGCTATTACTTACAATAAGCTCTTGCCCCTCACTCATACCCAGGATTAAGACTGGTTTAATTCCTTGCTTTATCTGGCTTTTTTGTGCATTTGGTTTAGCAGCTACTAATTCCTGTTGTTATTTTCTCTGATATGCCCAGAGTGTCAAATGAATTTGTTGTCTGATGCTTGGAGAATGAGTCAGGTGAATATTGGTGTTTCATTTCTACATTAGGCATGTTCATAAACCTTGTTGTCGCGGAGATTCTTCCATAGGTGTAATATATGAGGATCAATTTAGGGTCAGTGTTGCATTCTCGAGTAGTCACCTTTATTAAATCATTTCCTACTTGAGAAATGGAAACACAACCTGCTTTGGCCTATAATAACTTTGTAGAATGGGGCCTTGTATGGAATATTCATGACTCAGTGGCCTGTTTCCAATTTCCTATATTGGTTTTCAAAGATAAAATTAATTCCTCTGTGTGTGTAAAGGTTTGATCCCAGTCCTTTCATTTACAAGTCTCCTAATGTTTCAACTCCTTTGGCCCAGCTGCGGCTTTCTTGACCGCATTGTCATAAAGTCCTTCATGGAATCTTTTCTTCTTGCAGCTTCAGAAGCATGTAAGCAATGAAGGACACCCATATCACAAATTCAATATAGGTGAGATATGTATCTGATATGCAATTGTGAACAAAAAGATGTATATACTATAGCACACACAGTTTTGGTTTGCGGTAAATGAAGTCTCTATTCCTAAATCACAGCCATTACGTAATTGTTCCAAGTAAAATTCCCTGCATCGACTTTCCTTTTTGGTTTCAAATTATCTGCAGCCTGACATGGTTAGTCCATTTAGATGTCAGATAGGATGGGGGCCTTGTGGCATGCAACTTGACTTTGTCATTGGTTGCTGGTCAGCATGTTCAACCTTTTATACACTGGAACAATCCACGATGATCTACTAGCTTTGAGTGATTTATTCTTCTATTATGATTGGTGCTGCTTTATACTGCATGGGTCCTTTAACAATCGTACTTACATCTTGAGTTATCCTCTCTTTCACGTGTGGATAGTAATGCTAATATTATTTCCTAAAACAGTTTTAGTATACGTGAATTATAGGTAATTGGGAGACTTTGGAGGTAAGACCAAAAGCGAAGGGGGTGGATACAAGAGAAGAGCTGATAAAATTCTATAAAGAACATTATTCAGCCAATCTCATGCATCTCATCGTATATGCCAAAGGTTAGCAGATATACGACTTTGCAATCTTAGGTTGGTTGTCTGCTGTTATTTAGTTTCCTTCTCATGGAATGCTCAGAAAGCCTTGATAAGCTCCAAGGGGTCGTTGAGGAGAAGTTCCAGGCAATTCCAAACCACGAGAGGAGCTGCTTCTCTTTCCCTGGTCAACCTTTCTTGTCAGAGCATTTACAGGTGTGTACAGAGTTTGTGTGACTTCTTCCCATGTAGCATGATAATTTGCAGCCAAGTTATTTGTATTTGTATTTATTTTGGTTAATTGCAGATACTAGTCAAAGCTGTCCCTATACAAGAAGGACACGAGCTAAGAATTTCATGGCCAATAACACCATGGATTCTTCACTACAAGGAAGGGCCAATGCGTTATCTTAGCCATCTTATTGGTCATGAAGCAGAAGGATCTGTATTCTATGCATTGAAAACCTTGGGTGAGTATATCATATATGTTATCTGTGCATCTTGAAGGCTTGTTATTATATTATTCATTGTTTTTATTTCTTTCCTTCTTCCTTTGCCGGCTCTTTGGTCGGTTCATGCATGTCATTTATTTCCTCCCTCTGTAGAGTTTTGGGAAGCCAGTCAGATTATAATGTGGTTCAGAAAGATTTAAGTTTTTTGTATGGAAACAACCACCTGCTTCGAGTTTGACTAGTGTAGATGCTTTGTAATTCTGTCTCAAATCAATTCAGCTCTACGCCCAGTCATTGGGTCTCTTTTTTGTTGTCGATGCTGCTTCCTCTGAATTTGCACGGGTCTTTATCCTTCGCTGTTTGACTTTTTCCCTCTGGGGTTGAAGGTTCAGTCTGCTGGGGCCTAGTGTCTGGTTGGTTGAGGAGCGACGGGGATGATTTGGATTGTGTATCATTGCTTTATTTCTTATGTTTCTATAAAGGAGCTGTTCTGCGACCATGACATTCAAGGATCTTTGATAATCGGCAGGCTGGTTGAATTGCATCGATGGTCTCTGACTGTACTTGTAGTTTTATTTAGGACGCCGATTTACTTTTTTAGTTTTATTTAAGCTTCTAAGCCACAATTTTGGTGTCATTAATGTCTTCAGTGTACCTTTTCATTTTTTTGAGTCAACGAACCATAAATTGAGTTTTGTATAAGTTACTAAACAATATATCTAGTTCCTACAGTTGTCCAATTGCTAACTTATATGAGATAGAATTGTAGATTATTACCGAGTCAAACAAAGGTTAGATTAATGTCATCATGAGACCAGAATTAAGATTTCAATGAACTCAAGGAAACTTGTACTGTCTGCACGTATGATTTGATGATGTTTGGATGTAAGATATGTAGAAGTATTCGAAGTTTAAATATGTAGCTTTTACTGACTTCCATATTTTGAGTTAAGGAAATTTGAGGTCCATAATTTGGACCATTCTGCATCATTTTGTTTGTCCTTTGTTCTAGCTGTTAATTTTGTCCCATGTCTCTTGTGGAAAGTTTTCTCAAATATTATGTGGCTAACTGTAAAACCAGGATGGGCCACAAGTTTATATGCAAGTGAAGGAGATTGTACAAGCGACTTTTCCATCTTTGAAGTGGGAATTGATCTCACTGATGCCGGTCATGGTTAGTTTTATCATTCTCTTCTTCCGTTTTTATGGTGTTTCTATTCGGAACTCTTTTAATGGATAATAGCTATATCATGTTTGTTCTCTGAGATGTTTTCTTTAATGTGAATTCTTCAAAATGTTTTCTCCATTCAACTGCAGAGCACATGCAGGATGTTGTTGGGTTGCTATTCAAATACATTATGCTCTTGCAGCAGTCTGGTGTATGCAAATGGATATTCGATGAGGTTTGTGGTTTCCAGTATAGAAAGCTGTCCATTGTTGCTTAATCCGGAGTGTTTTTCCCTTCTCTCTTGGGAAAGGCCATGGTTATTCATGACACTAAGATACCCTGCCTTGACGTATTAAATAGTCCTTGTTGGTGCAAGGTAGAGTCAATAATTATTTCTGGGAGACAATTACTATCACCTTCCTCTACCAATCTCCGAAAGGATAGGTGATATATAGTTTGAGTGGCCAGATACTTCTTCATTATTAGTAATTGGCTTAGAGGCCGAGAACTAGTTTTTTTTTTTTTTTTTTTTTTTTTGACGAAGAACTAGTTGCAATATATATGGAGGACCTAAATTTTGTTTTCATAGTTAAGCAGTTGTCTCGGTGGATTAAATTAATTATCATTTGGCTTTCAACCTTGGTTAGAATATGAAGTAAATGGATGATCTTCCTCATTGTTGGGTGGGTGATTGTGCTGGCTGATGGGCTTCCAGTTAACTTAGTTGTTTTGATCGCCAGTTTGTTAATGTGATTGAAGCTCAGGGTGCCACTCTTGCTTCTGTGAGGCTGCCGCTTGCTTAATTAATTTATGTGAGCTTAATCGGGTGTTTGGTGATCATTGGGGATGATGTCGCAGTATTGCTCAGGTATAAGTATGTTAAGGATACAAAAATCCGCAAAAAGCTGGCACACATATTTTCAACAGTGGTCATGGGTAGGGATGACTGATGAGTGGCAGCAGGGACAAGCATTACTACTGTTCCAGTGTTGCACTTTTGCTTGCACTATGGATGTAACCAATAGTCTCTCTTAAAAGGGAATGGAAAAATTCATATGAATATGAGCTTTTATGCCTTGGGTTGTTGCCTTGTGGAATTTTATTACTATCCTTCATAAATATCCAAACTAATATAACAATAAAAAATCTAGCCAAAGAAGTTTTTATATGATAATAATTTGAGCTCTACAAATTGGCAGACTTGTAGTTATCCTTGTTCCCTTTCCGTGCTATTCTACTCGTATTATTGTGTTTAGTAGAGAGAGGGGCGCTGGGGATTTCGTGATGCAGCAAGCATCTGAGATGTTCTGGGCTGGAAATTGTATGCTGTAGACTGTAGTTAACAAAACCTAAGTTTACTATATTGTGGCAATACTATCAGGGTTCTAACTTGAGTTCAATGGAGAGAGATCTGATGCCTATTTCTGTATTTCGAAGTTGCATTTGTTTTCATGTATTCTAATTCTTTTAAATCTTGGTCTTGCAGCTTGCAGCAGTTTCTCAGACAGGATTCCATTATCGGGACAAAAATGATCCTATTCATTATGTCGTGGGGATTGCTTATTATATGCAAGTAAGTTAAACCAACAATTAGAATGTCTTTTGACTGCTAATTTTGTACGTCAGTTTTTTTACTTTTCTTTTCACGGGCTCTTAAAAAGAACATATTTTGTTGTGTTTACTTGATCTGTAACTTAAAGTAGAAATAGCTGACTACGTATCTTCTAGTTTTCCTCTCTCAGGGATGGGCTCTGTGTTCCCTTCCTTTCTTGAGGCTCATGTAAATTTTCCTTTTGGTCAACTAAAAATCGTATTCACTCATTCATAAGTAAAAAGAAGTAGCTGCCTGTTTATGTTTGGTGGTTACTGGATGTTGAAATGAGATATTTGTTTTGGTTCCTTCAAAATGTTAGCTATGGCTTATTTATTGTACTTAAACGGGAAATAATCTCTGGCTTGTTGATTGCTTCAGCTCGGTTTATTATTTGTATCATTCTAGTGCCTTGGTCGACACACATTTTCTCATTCTTAAATGTTCACAGATAATCTATTTTTGTGTACTATACTAGTATAAGTTAATCAATTAACTTCCTTACCTATGAGGTACCTGGAGGACGTTATCATTAGCATCTTTAATAACCATAGCAAATTTTTTCTCCCAATCCAGAAATATCCCCCGGAAGATTGGCTAGTACAATCATCTATGCCTACTGATTTCAATCCGAGCACAATCCAAATGCATCTTGATCAGCTCTCTCAAGACAATTTCCGGTGAGTTTTCTTTTCCTTACTGCAGAATTATGTGGTATTGGATTGAGAATCAGATGTCTGTCTGCTGTGTGATCGGTTAACTATCTTCGGCTAACCGTGGAAGACTAGAAACATTCCATAATATGATATAATGAGGAGTTCTTTGGAACCTTACAGTAGTTTATTTTAACTTATATCCCCATCTAGTTAGAAAGCCAGATGAATAAATGACATGGTATATGCATATTATTTGAACATAATTATTCTAGTTTACTCCGAATATACGTAAGTGAAGTTATTTGATTATTGCACTGGATCGACGAACTTGAAAAGGATTTTCTTGGAAAAAATCCATTATCTAGTGGGGGTTCCTTCTTTTTTATTGGTATGTAGGACTTATGAGGTCATGGGCATCAGGGCATGTGGATTCTTGACAGAAGACTGTAAGTCTTGTACAGCTGAAGTATAGAACATGACTCAAAAGTGGAGATGCAAAATTTCCTTCATGAGTAGCGACTTTTCTGATCACTAACTCATAAAATAATCATAGTCGCCCTTTTTCCTCTACCATCATGTTGCTGGTTCTATCTCACTGTTTCTTTAGTTGTGCACTACTGTAGTGGGATTTTGGGTTAAACTCCGACGATATAAACAATATCACCAGCCACATAGTAGCATAGATATCTTTGGCTAATCTAGCGTAGGCAAATGTAGCAATTGAAGTTGTATGGGGATTGCTGTTGCCTTCTCCTAGTAACTCAGGTCTTGAACATAAGTTGAAGGAAGGTTTCCATTGTACTTTCTCGCTTTAGTATCTTTTTCATTTTTAACAATAAGGATAAGGTTTCGGCCTAGTGGTAGTGGGGGTTGAAAAACATCTAATATTTGTTTGTAATCCAGTACGACAATGGTGGTTTCCTCGTCCAAGTACGGATTAAAATAGATGTAACTGTATGCATTCTAACGAGAGTAATATTGCAGTATCTTTTGGATCTCAAAGAACTTTGAAGCAGAAGCTCAGACTTTGGAGCCATGGTTTGGAACTAGATATGGTATCGAGAAAATCACTAGCTCCACGATTCAGGTATGTTTCTGATAAAGTTAGTCGTTTACTGTTTATGGATGTGATATATTCCACCATGGGGATAATTACCTGGCTACTGAGTGGTAATGGTAAGGTTTGTTTCCTTTCAGGACTGGATGCAATCAGCTCCGGGCAAAAAACTGCATCTTCCAGTACCTAATGTGTTTGTTCCTACTGACTTGTCTGTTAAGGACAAAAAAGAGAAGGTTTGAGTTGCTAATCCTGTGATTGCTTTTTGGTGGTTGGCCTCTTTGGCAGTCTATAAATGTGACAGTATGTTTGTGGAACAGGTCACGTGGCCATCTCTTTTGAGAAAGTCATCCTATTTTTCATTGTGGTACAAGCCGGACACAATGTTCTTTATGCCAAAGGCATACATAACAGTTGATTTCAGTTGCCCTCTTGCTAATGTTTCCCCTGAGGCCTCTGTTCTTACAGATATCTTTGCACAATTGTTAATGGATTACTTGAATGAGTATGGTGAGTTGAAATGGCTTGTTCTCTTTGGGGTTTTAGTTGTCATAACCTTTATGCAATAAAAGCACACATGTCAATTGGTGTTGGCAAAAATTGTGGGACGTTGTTATTTTATTTTAGGTTACTTGATTATACTTTATTTATCTATTCCAATGTAAATGTTATTTACTCATTTTCAGCCTATTATGCGGAAGTTGCTGGTTTATACTATTGGATAGGCAACACAAACAGTGGTTTCCAGGTACTTCGTTGCCTGAAAACCATATATATATTGATGAACAATCACTTGTATTTTGGCTACTCTTAATCCTTTCAGAAAACGTTCATATATGTAAATGCAGTGATTAGCTTAAGTAATACGTAAACAAGGAAGTAAATCCAAAGCTGATTGATTCTATCGTATATAGAATATTTTATGATGATGCTAATACAATTCCCGAGTCTTCTCTTCCCATTCTTGGGTTAAGTGTTCTGCGTTAAAATGACATAAATCATGGAACCTGTTTCAGTTTACTATTAGATTGAACATCGATATATTTCTTTGTATTGTGCTGAGTTCTTTTAGTTTTGGTATTCCTCAACTTTGCAAGAACATGATCATTGAGATACTAGCTTAAGTATTTTGTATATTAATATATTTGTCTTAATATATTTGCATGGAGGAGGGTAGTGGTTACTGGTTACTTTGTTGAGTCTTCTTACTTATGTTGGATGTGCTATATAAAATTATAAATTTGTATATATGCATCACCCGTTCCTTCCCTTCAATGTTGTTTTGGATGTCTCTAACATATGTTTTCCTACTTTTGGCATTAGGTTACTGTGGTTGGTTATAATCACAAATTGAGGGTTTTGTTAGAAACTGTTGTAAAGAAAATAGCTACATTTCAAGTCAAGCCTGACCGGTTCTTGGTGATCAAGGTAAGGATCAGCTTGTTCGTGATTTCTCTTACTATTGAATTTCTTATGAGAGGACTCTGGGAATCCTTTTGCATCATGGTCAGGTCTCATTTTGCTTTTAGTTCAAACTAAAGCGTATAAATTTTTTTTAGTAACTTATCGAGGTTTTTCCAGGAAACAATGACAAAAGGATATGAGAATTACAAGTTTCAGCAACCTTATGAGCAGGCTATGAATTATTGCTCTTTAATACTTTATGATAAAGCATGGCCGTGGATGGAAGAACTTGAGGTTCTTTCTCAACTTCAGGCTGATGATCTTTCTAGGTTTGTACCAATGCTGCTGTCAAGAGCCTTTTTGGAGTGCTATGTTGCAGGTGCTTTTATCTCGTCTACATCTATTATATTAAAAAATACTGTCATGGCTTTAGATGTCTTCTTTCGATTGAACAATGTTAGCCAAGATTTAAAGCTTTGAACTGTTCGATCTTTGTCCTTATCCTATGGCAGAGAGAGAGAACTCGCTAAAATTTTGGATTTGCCTTTCTCTTCCATTCTCCATTTTGTAAAGCATTCTAAATTAATGTATTTCAGTCGACGATTTTGATCTTGCTAGGACTAGGAATAATGGAGATTTTAGCCAGAGCACCACACCTGTTAATTATATGATGCTTTGTTTATTCAATAATTTGTTTTCGTGGTTTATCCCAGGGAACATTGAACAAGATGAAGCAGAAACGATAAGTAATCAAATTGAAGATACCTTTTTCAAGGGTCTGAACCCCATATGCCAACCATTGTTCTCCTCTCAACATCCAGCTAATAGAGTTGTCAAGCTTGACCGGGGAATGAGTTACATCTATCCGGTTGAAGGCCTAAATACTAAAGATGAGAATTCGGCTTTACTGCATTATATCCAGGTAGCTACAATTATCTCTATCATGCGATCTATTGTTTATTAGTGTTTCAGTCTCTGGAATTCCATTAGCTTCCATTTTGTTCCTCCCGTACAAAAAATCTTACGGGCATGTTGAAAAGAATGAACAATCCCTTATTTCTCAAAACTTCATTCCATCTTCTCTCATTTCGAGTAAATTAACTGTATTGCGTGTGAGAACGCGATGGAGACTAAACTATTTCTGATTTTGGATGTCGTGGCTTTTGAATATTGGAATCAGTTTATATAACATTGGGATCAGTCTCAGCGACTTGAATATTCCATGAGTATTCTTATGTAGATTTCTCTGCAGCTTAATGGATATTTTGTTTTCTGTATTAGGTTCATCGAGATGACATAAAGCTGAATGTTAAGCTGCAGCTTTTTGCTTTACTTGCAAAGCAAGCAGCTTTCCACCAACTTAGATCAGTTGAGCAACTTGGATACACGACGTTTCTCATGCGGAGGTAGTAGAACTATTATATTTTGTAGAGCATTGTATCTGGAATACACTTTCACATCCTTAATGAATAGTTGGACTTGTTTTTCTTTTCACAGGAATGATTCTGGTATTCGTGGACTGCAGTTCGTTATTCAATCAACAGTCAAAGTGTGTAGAGAACTCTCTGTCCCAATTCTCTTCCCTTGTCCTGCCTACACAAAAGTTTTCTAATTTTGGTCGGTCTACAGGGTCCCGGCCAGATTGATCTCAGAGTCGAGAATTTCCTCAGCATGTATGAAAGTAAACTACGGGAGATGTCCAATGACGAATTCAAGGTGAAATAACTCTTCCATCCCTGATATCATATTACTCCTGCATATGGTTGTGTATTGAGAGTTAGCGCTCATGGCAATCATTTGGTAGTGCTTTTATCATTTCAATCAGACGCACTTTAGAACCAGATTGTCCAGCAGTACAATCATTCAGGGTCCTGGATTACATCTCTAGATGCTTAGCCATGTTGTGATGAAATGCGTTATGATTCGTTAATCCTGCAGAATAATGTGAATGCGCTGATCAACATGAAACTCGAGAAAGTGAAGAACTTAAGCGAAGAATCGTCCTATTACTGGAACGAGATTTCGGAGGGGACACTCAAGTTTGACAGGAAGGAATGCGAGGTAATCAAGAAAACTGATGACACTAGTAAACCAAGTACCAAAAAATATGTCTTGAAACTTGAAAGTAGAAAATAACGATATGGATATTCTACTGATTCTCTTATCAATAAATTTCATCTGAATAAACCAGGTGGCAGCCCTGCGGCAGCTAACTCAAGACGAGCTGCTAGATTTCTTCAACGACTATATAAAAGTTGGTGCACCTCAGAAGAGGACGCTCAGCATCCGAGTATACGGTAGTCCACATTCGTCGGAGTTGGCAGCAGACAGAAGCCAGGAGCTCCCTCCAAACTGTGTCGAAATCAAGGATATCCTCAGTTTCAAAAGATCACAACCTCTCTATGCTTCATTCAAGGGTGGTGTCGGCCACATGAAGCTGTAAGTGTCGTCTCAATCCTGCCTGCATTTTACCCATATGCCCGGCGACGAAATCTAGCACTACAACTATTTGTTTCCGGAATTTAGCTGAAAGCCGGGGGCGTTCAGCACGTGCTGACACCACTGGATTTCTCTCCTGTGCGTTTTCAGCCGTTGAATCAGCAAGATGGCGTTCTTATACATAACGACATTTTGTTTGGTGCAACTACTGAGAACGCACGGGGCAATCTAACAGCGTCAGCAGCGCCGAACCTCTCCCCCTGTCAGCCTAGCAGCAAGATTTGAACATTCAGTATCTGTGATTCTATAGAAGATTTGGTGGGTGTGTATCCATGAAACCTGTAATGATTGGGGGATGATGAGTATGATTCTATGATCGTCAATGATGACCAATATTACACTGATGGCCATAAATAAATAGGATTAGTAGGACTTGAAGGAGACGGGGTATGGTTTATTATTAAACAAGAACCTGTTTGAGCAAAACCTAACAAAATCCAAAGCATGCAACACGCAGGATTGTGTTTTAGGGGTCGTTTAGATGAGGGATTTGGGGTAGGATTTTACCCAAATTCTCCATTCGGTCGGATTTTGATGGAATAACACGTATTACAATATGATGGATTTTGAGATTGGGAATTTAGTAAACCTACAAGTGTGGGTATTGAAATACTTGCTCCCTCTCGGCTGTTTCGAAATCCTTCGTTGGCTTTCTTTTTCCAATATATGATCTCTTTCAATTTTATAAAACTCCAAATCATACCCTTAGCCACACAACCATTGTTCCTCATACCCTCCAACGATGGCTTCATCTCTTTCTTTCTCTTCCTTTCCTCCGACGTAAGAATCCAGTCTCCATCTTCCTCTCTTTTCTAGGCTGAATTGCCATTTCCCTCACCAACAAGAAACCTCCACCGTCGGCATCAATTGAATCGCCATTTCCCTCACAAATACGCTCGTTTAAACATTCCCCGTCCAAACGACTCCTAGGCTCTTTGGTTTGATGGCTCATTTTGTGAAGTCTTTTTATAGAAACTAATATTGTAGAGAACAACTTGTGCAACATGAGTGTATGACTTTCTAAAAAAGTTGTAGAGAGAAAGGGATTAGGATGTGGATTAAGTGGGACTTAAGTAGGTATAGTGGGATTTGGTTGTCACGCGGGAATAATACTAGGATTCTAGGAATATGGTTAGTGTTGTGGCAACTTGTATTATGTACTAGTTTTCTTACCCGCGCTCCGCGTCGGGATATGAGTAAAATTTGAGTTCTTTTTGTTTGAGTTCATCCAAAGAATAACAATGAACTAAATAATTGACAGCACTTCAATACTGATCAGTCTCCAAAACAAAAACAAATTTTTTTCATTTTATTCTCCAAGTAAACAGCAGCACACGGACACATTGAAAGTTGAGGAATCACCAAGAAATAACCTAGCAGCATATTCAGTACAAAAGGTTTATATGCTTTCAGTTTGCTAATTAATTAACATGTTTAAATCAACACCACTAAATCAATAAAAAAAAAAGTTCCGATCTATTGAACCTTTACTTGTGCTCGGTTCTCAGGGTAACGATGCAGCTTAGCAAGCGAACTGAAGCCTGCAAAATAGTTACAGCCAGCTCAGCAAGCAATTTTAATCATAGTGGGAGATAATCAGCACAGTTTCTCAACAGAGTAAGTCTCCCTAACCAAAAAAAAACTCAAACCAATGAAGGCACAGTCTAGTTAGGGGATTTAATAGATTATTACAAAACAAAAGCTCCCTCATAAACAAAATCCATCTTCATACATTAGTTGCAGATAACGGGAGAGAAGGAAACAAAGGTTAGAAACAGAGTTATATATATATGATTAAGGTTCAGAGTCAAAACTAAACAAAAAGAGTACTTGACAAAAGTGAAGAACATTAATTCTTACTTTCCAAAAAGGAAAACGTAGAAATGCAACATATAGCTTGAAGATTTACCATAGACAATGACAACAGATCATCACCATTCACTTGCCAAATCAATCCACACCAGTGGCTTAATAACTACCACTGAAATTAATGGGGAAGTCTATCTCAATTCATGAACAATGCTGAGCATTGAGTAACTATCAGGCATATCAGGTACTCCCTAACGGTTTAACCACTATCCATAAGAACATGATATATTTAAAAGATATGTATGGAACTGTAAGCAACCAAGCCTAATCAAATGGAAAGAAATATATTACACAAAACTTTTAGGCGATGCCAGAGATCTGTCATTATGCAGAAGGACTATAAAGGTCAAGTGATTTCCAGGACTCAAGGGGATGCGAAAATTTTTACGTAGTTCACCAACCCCTTAGAAATTTAATTGTTTCTCTTATTTTATACACCAAAGCATGAATCAAGTGATTAAGAAGAGACCAACACCACAATTAATAATAACTAAAAAAGTAGAGACGAATCATTATACCATGGAGTTACCCAAAGACTAAGTAACAATTAGAAAACAATCATCTTCCCTACCTTCAAATCTACGATCGACCTCAGCTATTCAATCATTGTGGTTACCAGTACCACCGTCTGGAAGGTGAAAAAGAAGAATGCAAATAAAACATCAAACCGAGAGATTAAAAGAAGAGAAAAAAGGACATCATTAGAGAGGGAACAAATTGTAAAAACAAAAACTCACCATAGCAACTTATTTGACAGCACCCAGAGCTGTATCCACCGGAGTAAAGAAGCAACTGTTGCAAATTCTGGGTATCACTCCAGTCAATATATAGGTCTCGAAGGTGTTTTTAAGAGCTTGACTGACGACCTTCGACGGTGACCTCGTGACTCGCATCTGTGTATACAAATTCATTTAGAGGAAGAAAGAGGGAAAAACGAATCCGGACAGATATAACACAGTGGAGACACAGAAGAAAAAATCACCTGCAATCTAAATGAACAAAGTATCCGAATCCAAGAATTGCGGAGCTTTCTCTTGAACTATGTAGCCTGCCAAGTGATTGCTCCAAACTCCGACGGGCTCCAAGAAAGAGATGAAACATGAAAAAGAACCACACAGCGGTGGAGTAATAAATCAGGGCTTATCAACAACTCAGATGAGTATACCAAACCTAAAACACAGAGAAACAGAGAAATAGAGAAAGAAGATGACCTAATATTACACAAAAGCATCAGGGATATTTCATAACTCCATAGCTTGCGTGTTTTTCCAATCGATTCAAGCCTTTGGGTCATTCCTTTCTCGGAGAGGCCAAAGGCTACGAATAAACCTGCAAAGCTAAAAAGGATCAAACGAACACTTTGGGGAGAAAGAGAGAGCGAACCCACTTGAGAACAGAAAAATAAATCCATCTAAAGAGGGGCAAAAATCAACCCAAAAACAAAATTCCCACCGTGCTTACCTCATCTACCGTACGATGATCGTAGCAACAGCGCTGGAATGCAACCTCTAGGAATCCCCTTTTGATCAGCATACAACCATCCCCTTGAATCCGCTTTTCAGTTTCTCACCATAGATGTAGTTAACGACGAAGATACCATGGCCATCAACTCTCGCTTACTGGAGAGTTTTGAGTTCTGAACGAACTTGACGATTTCCTCTCTGATCCCGTTGATCGCAGGGAAGAATCTGAAATAGAGATGGGTGAGTGCTACCATAAAGAGTGAAAAGAAACGGGATGGGAAAAAGAAAAGGTGAGAGGAATGAGGGGTAGATAGAATATGTGGTGGAGAAAAAGAGTTGTTGTGATTTTTTTTACTTCCCTAATACCTCCACCCACTGGCACACTCTATCCTCTCTTTGCAAGGACGCCGCGTCAATCAAAAGGCGGAGTCACCCTTCTCCCACCGAGAGCATTTGACGGTGACAACATGGCATGCCTGACAACATCCAACAATAACTCTCTGCCACCTATGTAAAGCAGTCAAAAAGCATCGGCCGCACAAAAGGACCAACGCAAAGGGAATGAACAAACCTCCATCAAAAGCCAAAAAGAGGGGAAATATAGTTAGGTTCCAACGCATAGATAACCGAGCCCCAATCCAAAGTAACCAAACGAAACCGAAAGAAAGCTGGCAGATACATCCCATCAGCATCCCAAGAGTTCTTGTTGGGCTTACCGAGTCTATGTCGTCGATTTGTGACCAACGCGATTTTCGTCGCAGAGGGTTTCGTGTCAGACCCAACCCACAGTCTCAAGTCTCAACGATAGTTCAAAGGGAGAGGAAAGGAAATCTGGACCCACATCAAAGCAACAACCAATAAGAACTCGGTGAATAGTAATTTTGAGTCACAATGAATAGAAAAAGCAGTCTGGATGAACAGTAATTGTTGTATTGAGCTATTATACTTTTAATATGTAATTAAACACGTGTTGGTGATTAGCCAATGAAAAGTGCCATCATTGTTAAATAATTGGAGGTTTTGGGAACTTGGATTTGTACCTAATCATCCCCATGACGTAATCGTAGTGCCCCTGTTGTTTTTTTATCGTGAAAAAGTTCTTAAGGTAGCAAAGTGCCAACGATCCCATTAGATTCTCACCAACCTAGTAAAATTTGGGGGGAGAAAAATTAGGCCTTCTTGCTTTTCCCTTTCTATTGTTGTTCATACCTCTTTTGAATAGGAATTTTTTTTTCCTGTCTTGCCATAAATCCTATACGATTAAATATACACATCATATGTGTATGCGCAGTGAAGAAGTTAGAAATTTGAGAATGCCGAGAAATTCGAAACTTGATAGTTAGATAGTTTGTAAGTTGAGGAGATCTGCCACATTAGTTAACAACAGCTTCGCCACTAAACATAAGTGGTATCTTCTAACGTAGGATCGGTCGAGCTAACTGCTACGTGTTTGTCCGTCCCAAGTCTCTTCCACATACCACTTATAGTTAGTAGTGCACCAACCCAAACACCTCTTCTACGTATCCAAAGTTCTCTTTAAAACATTTCAAATGAAACCCATATGTGAAATTTTGTGATGAGAACCTTAATTTAATTGAAAGTCCCCCATGGTCACCTTAGTCATCCCTCCCACATAAACTAATTGCACGTTGTGTCACGCGCTTTGCTTTTTGGAACATGGACACCATAATATATACATATGTCACGTACGGATGTTCGCAATTTTCTAGTCTATATATAGATTCGTAGATTCGATCGATGGATAGATATCGTGAATTGATTTGCACGTAGTAGTGAAAACTAGTATCGAGAATGAAAGTGCAGACGATGAGGAAAATGAAGAAGGTGACGCTAATAATGGTGCCGTACCCAGCACTCGGCCACGTCACTCCCATGTTCCGCCTCGCCTCTTCCTTCCTCCAACTCCCCGACTGTAATTACACTTTCGCCCCTGTTCTCCTCCTCCCTCACTTCCTCCACCGCCAGATCTCCGCTACAGCCACCAACGACGTCGATCCCCGGATATCCTTGGTTCCCGTCCCGGAGGAGGACGACGGTGAGGACGAGCCGCCGCCGCCGCAACCTGCTGATTTCTTTGCCATAGATAAGGCGATGGAGCAGAGCAGCTCGCCGGCCGGGCAGATGGAGGCGGTGGTTCGTGACGTCGTTGCGTGTAGTGGGGACGGTGGTGGGGACGTTTGCATGGTGGTTGATTTGCTGGTTTCGTCGGCTATTGGCGTGGGCCGGAGGTGCGGGCTTCCGGTGGCTGGGTTTTGGGCCGTGGATCTCCTGGCCCACCAGTTGATCGCCGCCATCCCGCAACTCGTCGCCACTGGCCTCGTTCACCCTCATTCAGGTATTGTATTGGTATGATTTAAAAAATTAGCTCACATATCAATAGAGTAATGCGATACTTAAATGCATGTCGTATAGTCGTAACTAGATGGAGCTATACACTTTATATCAAAGCGAGAATTAACATCATCTACAAACGCACGATCTTCAAAATCAATCTTCTCGATATAGTTGAATAACTATGTGAGCTAATTTTCATGTTGTTAAGTTGTTAAGTGTTGAGTAAGTTATTATCAACCAGGCGGATGCTAGTGATAGTCGGATTGGTGCTATTCTTGCTGAAATTATTCATCACTTGGCGGATCGCTCAGGGTTTAGTGTTAGATTTGTTGGTCGGCGTAGCAATAGGGTAGCCCATTTGGTGGCTCGTAAGGCCCTCTCTTTGTACCCGACTGCGGGTCGTTTTTTTGACTTTCAGGCCTGGCTCTTGTCCAGGATGTAACTATCTTTTGTTTCGATCAATGAAGATTATCTTTTGTCAAAAAAAAAAGTGTTGAGTAAGTTATTAATCGTGTGGAAGTGATATATATATATATATATATATATATTTATGTACTATTTAACGAATTTGAAGCTGAGGCATCCAGGTTCAAGACTAGTGGTATTACTAGTAGACCAAGTCCCTGTTCGCTCAAATTAAAGCGAGAAATTACCACCAGCTACAAACTCAATCTTCAATATCAATCTTCTCTAACCGAAGAACTTTGTGGCTATTGAGCTATGATTCTATAAGTTTGTGAGTTAATTTTCTTGTTGTCAAGTGTTGAGGTAGTTATTATTCATTTTGAAATGAAGTGTGGAAGTATTGTGAATGGTTATTTCGTTGATCATACGTACAGTACAAATTTTGTTTTTGCTTCCAGTGTGTTAGACACACGTTTAGGCTACAGCTAAAAAGCAAGACCCCAACGCCCGCCTTAGCCTTCTTGTATTCTCATGCTATTGTTAATATTTTACACGTTTATTTCATTATTTAGGAATCCCTCAATACCATTAACACGTTTATTTCATTATTTAGGAATCCCTCAATACCCAGGAATTCCCATTGTTGACATTCTACCTCATGATCAACCGGCTCTCTCGACGGATGACCTCCCATGGCTGATCGGAAGCCCATCGGCGAGAAGTGCAAGGTTCAAATTCTGGAACAAGACCTTGCAAAGATCAACCACCCAGCTCCAATACCTTCTGGTCAACTCCTTCCCCGACCAAAACGTACTCCACCACCAACAAAAGCAGCAACAACCGAAAATCCTGCAAGTGGGCCCGTTAATGCCCAAACACCAGGCCCACACCAGCAACAACGTAACCTTCTGGGAGCAAGACTCGGCCTGCTTGCACTGGCTGGACACCCAAAAGCCCAACTCGGTCCTCTACATAGCCTTCGGCAGCTGGGTCAGCCCAATAGGAGAGCCCAAAGTCCGGGCCCTCGCAACCACCCTGGAAGCCCTCCACGTCCCTTTCGTCTGGGTGCTGGGGCCCGCATGGAGGCAGGGGCTGCCACGTGGGTACGAGAAGAGGCTGTCGGCAAGCCAGCGTGGCATGGTGGTGTCGTGGGCCCCGCAAATGAAGGTGCTGGGACACGTGGCGGTGGGTTGCTTCCTCACGCACTGCGGGTGGAACTCGACGGTGGAGGCCGTCCGGTGCCGGAAGCCGATGCTGTGCTATCCGATCGCCGGCGACCAGTTCGCCAACTGTGCTCGGATCGTGGAGGAGTGGAGGGTTGGGGTGAGGCTGAGTGGGTTTGGGAGAAGGGAATTGGAGGAAGGGATGAAGAGTGTTTTGGAAGGTTGTGAGATGAGTGGCAAGTTGGAGAGTTTGTGTGAAGTGAGTTTGGGGGATGAAGCTAGGGTTAGGGCTAGTGATAACCTCAGTGCCTTTGTTGATCTTGTCTTTAATTAGGTGGAGCACTCTTCCTTCGCTTCGCATTGATCTTATAGAGGATAGATGAAGTGTGTATCATCCTAATGTGTGTGGTGTGGTTTGGGTGTGTGTTTGCATCGGTTTTGTCTTGGTTTTCGTGTATGATGCCTAACAATTTTGAAATACGAATAATGGGTTTGATGAATTGTAGCTGGTTACGTAGTTGACGGGGTTGATATAATTGAATGTTTATCCAAATATATGTTATTTATAGTATGGTTAGCTCTGCCAAAAGTCTTATAATATACATTCTGGCATATATATGCGCGTTTTCATAATTTTTTTGTGTTGGTTACGTAAATTTGGTAACACGCATGGTAGATCTGACGAATTAGAAAGGTTAAACTTGAAGAAAGAGAAGCCTATCCCAATCCACCATTAGGGCGGCGGTTTAGTTCAGTTAATCGAAAACCATTAGAAACCAAACTTCGAATAAGTGATCAAGTGCCCAAAATTGAAAAAACGAGCCTTTAATTGCACAAAGGCCTATCAGTTTGTTAATAATTTTGGGGGTTTTCCGAAATTGAAGCCGTTGAAAACATATCGATTTTTACATGCTAATGGAAATCCACAAACGTATAAAACCGCTTCGATTTCGGTTAAAACCCAACCGATATCCCTATCCACCAAGAAAAGGAAAAAGACCAACTTGCATGACGACTTACCACAGTGCGATTGCCTAACAGTCTTCTGCTAATTAATTAACTTCAATCCTGTTAGCTAGGTAGAACGTGCTTATTATGAATTAACCACTGTGGGTAAGCATCAGTGAAACTAAACCTCCCAACTGAATTGCTCTACAGACTGCAAAAAGCTACGCTCAGTTCCAACAACCCCTTTTTGGCGGAATTGATTAGCATTCTAACCATAAATTGTACAAGTACAAATCTAGCCATATTTTTGGTTCTTACAATTGTAATCGTTTTTTTTAATTGTAAGACTATAACTCACACGCAATTGTGGTTATATTCATTGCTTTTACAGTTGTGATTGTTTTTTTCCCCCTTCTAATTATAGTACTAGAACTCCAATGCGAACTATTATAACGTACACTATTAACTTTATCAAGTCCCTTTTTGGCACATTTTTCTTGTAGCACAAAATGCACGGCGGAAAGAAACCCACACTCTAACAAATTCGTGCCGACCACAATTGCTCCGGCCGGCCGACTAGACATAGTATTGTCCGTCTTGTCACCAGTGAACACATGCATCAAAAGGCAAAAACCCCATACGTGAAAGTGATGAAACACACCTAGAGATTAAATAATTGCACGTTGCACGTTTTTGGTGGAACCCAAATGAAGTAAAGTAGTGTCCATTATCTCCTCTTCTACCTAGCTAGCGGCCGCATCTTATTCTATATATCCCATCAAATCCTCGTTAGTTTAGTTGGCCTAAAATGATTGTGAAATTACATGGCTTCGCAATTCACTAAAACATGATGTTTGTTATATATGTGTGAAATAATGTGACTATCTTACTAATGGACTTTGTAATCGTGTTCCAGTACTGATCCACATCGTACATTTTGTAATGTAAGGTTACACAATACAATGGATTTTCATCATGAGATGAATCATCGATGTTAATGGGAGGGGGGCCGGACTATAGTCCCTCCTCCACCTCCTCAACTCTCAAACTCATCATGTACAATCACATGTAACATTCTGTAATAAATTTGGGAAATTTAGTAGCTCGTCAACTCGATCTCAAACCCATATACAATTATGGGGCAACATCTGTAATAAATCTGAGAAATTCAGCAGCTCGTCGGGTTATTTATTAATTAATGTCACTCTTTTTCGTGCAAGTAACAATACCACACATTAGTGGTTGCCGACTGATTTACAAGTTTGACATAATTGCAATCGATCTATTGGCTCTCTATATATTGAGAGAGCTCACGAATTTTGTAAATGAGAAAAGAGGAGATGAGGAGGGAAATGAAGAAGAAGAAGGTGATGACAATACTAATGGTGCCATATCCAGCGCAAGGCCATCTCACTCCCATGCTCCACCTCGCTTCCTCCTTCCTTCACCTCCATGATCACAACGATTACACCTTCGCTCCTGTTCTTCTCCTCCCTCACTTCCTCCACCGCCAGATCTCCACCACCACCAACAACAACAACGTCGATCCCCGGATTTCCCTCGTCCCCATTCCGCCGCCGGACGAGGAGGAGCAATCCGCCGCCGCTCCACCACCGCCCGGCGATTTCTTCGCCATAGACAAGGCCATTGAGGAGATCACCACCGCGGCCGGGCAGATGGAGGCGGTGGTCCGTCGTTACGTCACTAATGCGCGTAGTAACAATGGAGATGATCATGATGCGGGAGTTGTCATGGTGGTTGATTTGCTGGTGTCCTCGGCCATCGACGTGGCTCGGAGGTGCGGCGTTCCGGTCGCCGGGTTCTGGCCCGCCGCTCTTCTCACTTACCGGTTGATCGCCGCTATCCCCCGTTTGGTCGCCGCCGGCCTCATTCATCCCCATTCAGGTATTACTATACTCTATCTCTATAACATGCAATCTTCCATTACAGCTAGATATTAATTAATAAAAAAATTCGGGTTAATTGCATGGTTGGTCACCGTGATTACAAAAAACGTTCAAGTTTGGTCACTCGAAATATTTAAATCCATTGGTGGTACTTCAGTTTACTGAAACCGTTCACGTTTGGTCACTCTCCGTCCAACTCCGTTAACTTTTGCTTACGTGTCAGTCAACTCTAAAAGTTGACCATTAAATGTGTGACGTAGCAATTAAAAATAATTAAATAAATAAAATTTGATTTTTTAAAATTTTTACCTCATTTCTAACTATTAAAAAAATAAAAATTATTAAATTAAGAACAGAGACCGAGGCCAACGCTGCAGAACCAGAACCACCACCTCATTCTTCATCCTACGACGGTGGGCCTCTCCTACGTCTCCAATTCCCCTTTCTTCATCTTCATTCATAGTGCTCGTAGACGTTGGTGTTTTCGCTTTCCCTCTTCCTCTCCGCTGCGGCATTAGGTCGAAGAGTTTCCTTAATCAACCTCACCACTTCATCCATGGTGGGCCGCATCTCGGGACCCTTCGCCACGCAAGCCAGCGCGATCTGCAGCATCTGCACCATATCCTCCTCCACGCTCTGGCTGCTCATAGCTCCGCATCGAAAACCTCCGCTGTCCACTCCTCCCTCACCACCGACGTCACCCACCTCGGTAGATAAACCACCTCGTTGTACGCACTACCGCCACCAGGGGGACTTCTCATCGGCGCTTTCCCCGTCAGGGCTTCCAGCAGCAGGACGCTGAAGCTGTAGACGTCTGATTTTTGGCTGGGTTTCCAGATCTCGATCACTTCGGGAGCTCTGTACCCCATGGTTCGAGACATTGTGGTCGGGAAGTTCATCATCGGAGCTAGACCCACGTCGGAGGTACAGGCGTCGAGGTCGGCGGTGAGGAGGACGTTGGAGGATTTGAGTTGACTCAACCTGTTTCCCTGTCTGGTTCCCGTGTTTCCTGTCCCCAATTTAATGTTCTAGAGTTGACTCAACCCTAATTCGATTCTCTTAAGGGCATAACAAAACCCTAATTTTGTCAGTTGAATGTCGAATTGTCAGTTGAGTGAACCTCCCCTGTTTTCATTCTTAATTTAGTAATTTATATATATATGGTGCCTTCTATTGTACCCCGGTGAATCCGGGGTACCGAATACCTTGAGTATGAAAGCTCTATCTAGACCTCGAATTAGCATGACTTTTGGGCATGATACTATATCCTAACCCGTATTGAGTGAACCCTAGGTCCTAGTTATCTAAATCATAAACTATAATCCCTAAGATGGTGCATTCATTGTTTTGCCTATATTTGGACGAATCATGACCGTCGATTATTGTTTCTAATTAAATTGATCTTAGAGTATAAGATTTAGAGAAATAAGACCTAGATTTTGATCTTCAAGGGTTAGAGTATAGTATCATGTGAGAAAGATCAGTCAATTCAAGGTCTGGATAGTGTTTTCATACTCAAGGTACGATACCCGGGATTTCACCAGGGGTACCGTAGAACTCGCCATATATATTAATAGTTACAAATGAGGTGGAAATTTTAAAAAATTAAATTTTATTTATTTAGTTATTTTGTTATTGCAACGTCACACATTTAACGGACAACTTTTAGAGTTGACTGCCACGTAAGCAAAAGTTAACGGAGAGTGACCAAACGTGAACTGTTTTAGTAAACTGAAGTACCACCAATGGATTTAAATATTTCGAGTGACCAAATTTGAACGTTTTTTGTAATCTCAGTGACCAACCATGCAATTAACCCAAAAAATTCCGTATATATACAGCTGTATTGTATATGTACGACGCATCATGTATCACATGATCGTACGTACGCAACTTATAAATATTAGGGTTAATATTTTCGTATGGTGTGAACTTTGACCAAAATAAACATTCTGGCAAATCGTTTCGATCTATAACATTCTGGCCCGAACTATACACCAAAATAAAAAATTTGGCCAAACCCGATGTTTGACCGTTAACTTGGATGGTCAAACGCGTTGACTAACGGTCAACGCGCCACGTCAATGCCAAGTTAGAAGATCTGATAAATATTTAATTTTTTCGTTTTTTATTTTTGGTTTAACTAATGTATTAGATAATTTTTTTAATTTATAATCATTTAAAATTAGAGAATGTGTGGAAATTGTGAATTATTTTAAATATTTTATGCTGACTTGGCAGTGACATGGCGCGTTGACTAACGGTCAACGCGTTTGACCGTCCAAGTTAACGGTCAAAAGTCGGATCTGGCCAAATTGTTTATTTTGGTGTATAGTTCGGGCCAGGATGTTATAGATCGAAAAGATTGGTCAGGATGTTTATTTTGGTCAAAGTTCAGGCCATACGAAAATATTAACCCTAAATATTAATATACGGCATGTACCAAGCGCTAATTTAATTCCCGCTTTCCCGTCATTAATCTTTAATAAAAACTGGGAAATTACAGAATTTTAAAATGAAATTAGAGGTGTCCATAATTGGGCTGAGGGTCCAGTCCAATTTTGTTGGCACTGACACGGGCCTGGAGGCGTGCTTGGTGGAGCCTGGGCCATGTGCTGCACTCGCCTGGCCCTCAGATCAACCCGTACGGCCCAATAAACGACACAATCTTGATTAATTTTTTAAGGGCTAAATTACACATTTGGTCACTCGAATTACATAAACATTTCACGTTTGCCACCCAAATTAATTTTCTTTCAATTTAACCACTCACTTTACGAATCATTTCACCGTTGGTCACACTCCGTCAGTCTCCGTCAGACTCCGTTAACGCCGTCAGATTTTTGATGACGTGGCAAACGGAAGTGCTGACTGGGCTGACAGAGAGGCTAAAAAATACGGGTTTGACTGCCTAGTCAGCCACATACCCGACCCAGCAACTTAATTGACCCCTTTTTTTGTATTTCATTTTTCTTTTCTTTTATTTTTATTAGAAAAAGCTTTACTTTTTGTGTGAAAAGTGAAAACTGAAAACGATCGGGCAGTAGAAGGGGTTTTCCACTTCTCTTCTCTGCGTTTTTCACCCGAGGCGGCGACGTCGATCTCGATCAGGGGAGAAGGGGAGGCTGCAAGGGGGGAAATCAGAGCCAGCAAAACAGAAATCCCCATTACCCCCAAATCCAATTTCAGATCACACCTGCAAAGATTAAAGCCGAGGATGCTTAATGGGTAGATCTGCAATTTCAAAGCTTGGACAAGACTGGTTTGGAAACGCCCAAACCAAGGACGCCACAAAGCTCCGGATACAAACTCTGCCTTATCACCTTGTAAATCTCGCCGTCCCACTTCCTGGCCGCCAACTGCTCCGCCAGGCGAATTCCAGCGTCCTTCAGCTCCTCCTCGCTACCCTTCACCCCGTCGACGATCCCCAACCTCGCCGCATCCGCTCCCCTGATCTTCGTCCCTCGCAGCAGCGCATCCCGCCGGGCCGAAACCGACCCGATCTTGGCCCGAAACAGCACGGTGAAGTAGTCCGGCAAGGGAATCCCCAGATCCACCTCGCTCATGTACAGAACCCCTCGGTCGCTCCTCATGAACACGTAGTCGTGGCAGAGGGCGAGGACGAACCCGGCGGCGGCGGCGTGGCCCTGGACGACGGCGACGGTCGGCATCGGGAGGGAGATCAGCTCGGCGACGATGGGGCGGAACGAGTCGACCATGTGGTTGAGCCGCTCGGCGGCCTCGGATCTGGACCCGGCGGACCGGGCCCAGCCCAGATCGAGGCCGTTGGAGAAGAATCGGCCCTGGGATGTGGTGATGAGGACCGAGCCCCTGGTGGCCTGCGATTTGGCTTCGCGGAGGGATGAGAGGACGTCGGCGATTGCGGCCGGGCTGAGGCGGTGCTCGTCGCCCGTCAACGTTAGGACGAAGAAGTCCCCGCGCTTCTCCTTCTCCCCTGATCGAGATCGACGTCGCCGCCTCGGGTGAAAAACGCAGAGAAGAGAAGTCGAAGAGAAGAGAAGTGAAAAACCCTTTCTACTGCCCGATCGTTTTCAGTTTTCAATTTTCACACAAAAAGTAAAGCTTTTTCTAATAAAAATAAAAGAAAAGAAAAATGAAATACAAAAAAAGGGGTCAATTAAGTTGCTGGGTCGGGTATGTGGCTGACTAGGCAGTCAAACCCGTATTTTTTAGCCTTTTGTCAGCCCAGTCAGCACTTCCGTTTGCCACGTCATCAAAAATCTTACGGCGTTAACGGAGTCTGACGGAGACTCACGGAGGGTGACCAACGGTGAAACGATTCGTAAAGTGAGTGGTTAAATTGAAAGAAAATTAATTTGGATGGCAAACGTGAAATGTTTATTTAATTCGAGTGACCAAATGTGTAATTTAGCCATTTTTTAAGGATAATAATTAGCAAGCTGAAAACAGAAAAATAATAATAGTAACATAAATTTGTACATTTTAGCCTAACAAGATTAATTTGTGATGTACTTTCCTTCCACAGGTATCCCTCAACATTCAGGAGCTCCCATCGGCGACCTTCTAACTGGCCAACCTCCTCTGTCAACAGACGATCTCCCATGGCTGATCGGAAGCCCAGCTGCAAGAAAAGCCCGGTTCAAATTCTGGACCAAGAGTCCAAGACCTTAAACCGCTCCACAACCCTCCAATGCCTGCTAGTCAACTCCTCCCCTGGCGGAGGTCAACCCGACGAACTCCATCATCACCAGCATCAACAGCCGCAAGTCCTGCAAATCGGACCTCTGATATCTCAACAAACCCCAATCGCCAACAGCAGCAGCAATCGTATCACCTTCTGGGACCAAGACTCGTCCTGCCTGCAATGGCTGGGCACCCAGAAGCCCAATTCCGTCCTCTACATCTCCTTCGGCAGCTGGGTCGGCCCAATCGGAGAGCCCAAAGTCCGGGCCCTGGCCACCTCCCTCGACGCGATCGGGATCCCGTTCCTCTGGGTGCTGGGTCCCACGTGGAGGCAGGGGCTGCCACGTTGGTTCGAGCACGACCTGTTAATTAGCCAGCGTGGCAGATTGGTGACGTGGGCGCCGCAGATGGAAGTGTTGCAACATTTTGCGGTGGGGTGCTACCTCACGCACTGCGAATGGAATTCCACGGTGGAGGCCGTACAGTGCCGGAAAAGGATGCTGTGTTTCCCGGTCGCCGGCGACCAGTTTGTGAACTGTAGGTATATTGTGGAGAAGTGGCGGGTTGGGGTGGAGCTGAGTGGGTTTGGGAGGCAGGAATTGGAGGAAGGGTTGGAGAAGGTTATGGGCGATGGTGAGATGAATGGTAAGTTGGAGAGTTTGTATGAATTGAGTTTGGGCAAGGAAGCTAAATGTAGCGCAATTGCTAATCTCAATGCCTTTGTTGATCTTCTGATTGGAAAGACCCAAGATTTATAATTTCGTAATTCGGTAATCAATTCGATTACACGGTTGTTATGTAAATCGAAATCTTCGTAATAGAAAAACAATCCAACGATGTTGACACGATGATTTATTTATGTAATTACAATGGTTGATTTCAGTAACATGCCAATCAATTACCCTTTTGTTCAAGAACTGAGCTGGAGGAACCTGAGCGCCATGGGATGCTTAGCTTGAGCGAGCTCATCAGGCCGGAGAACCTCAACGATTTCACCATCGACGAGCAAGAAAACCAGATCAGCAACCCTCTGAATCTGCTTGATACTGTGGGAGACCATGACGACGGTCATTCCCTGATCGTTTTTCAGCTTAACCAGAACATCTTCAACATTCTGCGTCGAAATCGGATCCAGAGCGCTGGTGGGCTCGTCGAGCAGGAGGACGTCCGGCTCGTTGGCCAGAGTCCTCGCCAGAGCGACCCTCTGCGCCTGCCCGACGGAGAGCTCGCTCCCTTTCTTCCCGTAGAAGGACGGGTCCAGATCCGCCATGGAAAGGAGCTTGCGGACCTGCTTTTCCGACAGATTTTCCCCTCGCAGCTTGGGGCCGTACCGGACGTTGTCGGCGACCGTGCCCTGGAACAGCGCCGGGAGCTGGAACAGCATCCCGACTTTCCGGCGGAGGGAGACGACGTCGATCTCGGTGATGTCGCGGCCGTCGAGGAACACGGTGCCTCGCGGTGGCTCCCAGAGGCGGTTTAGGGATCTGAGAAGCGTCGATTTCCCGCTGCCGCTGGGGCCGATGATTCCGATGATTTGGGATCTAGGGATTTCCATCTCCACCCCGCGCAAGATCGGGACGCCGCCGCAGGGGGCGGCGTCGCTCAACTTGGTTAAGTTGTTGATGCGGAATTTAGCTCCGGCGGCGGTGGGGGGATCGTGATTGCCGGATTCCACGTCGGCGCGAAGTAGTTGCTCGTGAATCCCATCTTCATCTGAAGCGAAAGGGAGCAGGGGATGAAGATAAGGGAGAGCAGGAAAAAATCAATTCAGTGAGAGACGGCGAGGAGCTACCTGCAGAGGCCGCGAGAGTCGGCGGCGCCATTGTTGCTCTGCTGGTGAATGTTGATCGATTAATTGGCGAGTGATTAATGGATGATATATGATCAAGGTGGAGAAGATGAGGAAGAAGAAGAAGCCTCCCTCGGTAATGGGCATTTTTCGATCTGGATTTTGGGGGGGATTTTTGTCCTATGCTCTGTTTCTTTTGCGCGGATAAATCAAAGGAACAAACGGACCAATGGTGGCTAAAGAAGAATCGTATCATTAGTTTATTAGTCACCACCACCAGTCCACCACCACCGCTTGTGTACACACATCCCCAGATTTTTTTTTGGTACAACTGAAATAAGTAAAAGAGCAAAGTGGTTACAAAGTACTCCCAACCTACGTTACATCAGTTCCTAATGTAGATCATTCCCATTCGATCGTTGTTTACAATAGTTTCTACATTTCTTGGAGGGTTGGCCCATAGACTTTCCCCGCTCGTACATTCATGTCCCAACTAGAGGTGGCAACTAGGATCCAAATCCATGAATCTAATCCAATCCATCCACCAAATTATCCACCTAATCCAATCCATTTGATCCAAATCCAATTGGATTGGTGGATTCATGGATCAATCCATGGATCCAAATGGCAAATTACGATTTGGTACCTATATTTTTTATATTTTACATTTTGGTACCTAAAATTTATATTTTTATATGAAAAATATCATTGGAAAATTACGTTTTGGTACCTAAAATTTTTTATTATAACATTTTAGTACCTAAACTTTTCAAAATTTACATTTTGGTCCAAGCCTTGGATGTTATTTGGATTCATGGATCAATCCACCAATCCATTTGATCCATGGATCCACGAATCCAATCCACGAATCCACGAATCCGATCCAATTGCCACCTCTAGTCCCAACTCCGCCAAAGCATCTGCCACTTGATTGGCTTCTCGAAGTGAATGGTGCAACCTGCAATCCCATTGTTGAAGAAGATACTTACGACAATCCTCCAAAAGCGCACCCAATGGATGGAACTCAAAGTCTTTTGTAAGGAGAAGTTGAACTGTCACTTGTGAATCTGAAGCCACTTCCACCTTGTGATATCCCAGTGTCCACGCCAGTGAGAGACCATCTCTCAAAGCTCGAATCTCAGATTCAAGTACTGAAGCATGGCCGACCTTGTTGGAGAAGCCAACAATCCAACTACCATCTGAGTTTCGAAGTACCCCTCCGATGGCTGATGATGGCGGCTCTGAACGTCTACTCCCATCCACATTTAGTTTTACCCATCCTTCTAGAGGTTTAGACCAAGAAACTTGTTGAGGTTGAGATCTCGGAGTGGCACTTGTTGTGGTGGTCATGCTAATTTCCTGTGCAAGACTATGAGTAAGCTGCCAAAAGTATGGGCGTGACCATATAGCCCTGTTATGCACATATTCATTCCTTTCTTTCCAAATATGCCATATGATAGAAATAGTCCAACACTTAAGGGGCAGCTCTTGTACCAATTCATCCCCATTGATCAATAATAAGTCATAAAGCCACTCTTTCGTGTCAAGCATAAAAGAGCTAGGTAGGGATGTTGGAAAAAGATTCAGCCACCTTAAGGGCAATCTCTCACGGCATGAATTGATGTTTCTTTTGGGTCGGAGCAACGTGGACAAGATGGGGAAACCGGAAGGTGACGATAATTGAGAAAAGCCATTGTTTTTGCTGCATCATGACATAACAGCCACACGAAGAAAGAGACGCGACGAGGTCCTGCTAATCTCCATATCCATGACCAGCTGTCTACTTCGTTATTTTGTGTTGGTGATGTTCTTGCTAGTAACCATTTGTATGCTGATTTTGGGGTGAAAGTACCTGAACTTGTCTCTCCCCATATTAACCGATCTTGCAATCCACCTGTATAAGGAATAGGAACCTGCAATATGTTTTGCACCACTTGATCCGGAAAGAAATCCCTTAATTTCTCACGATCCCAACACCCAGGTGAAGTGATGAATTGAGAAACAGTGAGATCAAGTTCTGCTGCTTCCAGGCTTCGTACAAGATGATTATGGAGAGGGCCTATTTGGACCCAATTGAAATCAAAGAAACGCACCTGACGACCATCCCCAATTCGCCATCTGAAACCTTGTTGTAGTTGTTGAAAAGTTTTAACAATACTTCGCCAAATTGAAGATGCCAACCGAGGAGCTGGGTTGGAATTAAGTGTACCATATTTGGCAGATAAAAGTTGAGTCCATAATTTGTGAGGTTGTGATTGTAATGACCAAGTCAATTTCCCCAGAAGTGCAGTATTGTTGAGGCGTGCCGAACGGACTCCAAGACCCCCTTCCCGTCGTGGCCTAATAGTGCTGTCCCAACAAAGAAGGGAAAGTCCACGTTTCTCCTCCGTGGAGCCCCATATAAAGTTCCTGCTAAGTTGGTCGAGTCGGTTGCAGGAAGGTGTTTGTTTCCTTGACGATTGGGCCTGAATGTTAATGGGCTTCAGTAAAATTACATATCAACTCGCAAGATTTACGTTTGATGGGCTGCATTGGGCTGAATGTTTCATCTCCCACCGTGAGATTAGAAAATTTGGCATGATATATGATTATCACCCAGTTAATCAATTAATCATGAAATTTTATCGCAAAAGTTTCATTAACTGTTGAAATCAAAAGGAATTTCTTAATATTTTAATGAAATATATAACTGGTAGACCTGGTGGGACAAATCGATGAGGCTAATCAGTGATACCTTTTTTCCAAAAGAGATAATGAGTGGACAAGAAAAGAAAGGATAGGCTGATGCGAAGTTTGGCTAAGAAATGTCGGTTGTATACTTGTATAATTGTATTTGTATTCATACGCTGCGTGCTTCCCTGGCCGTCCACTCTCTTCCCGTGCAGACCTGACTTCTTCGCCGGCGCCGGCAGCAATTGGAGGCGACCCGGCGAACATACTCGGTAGGTCTTCTTCTTCTTCTCAGCTGTACACATTTTGTTTTTCTTTTTGGTAAAAAATTGCATCTCCTTTCCTCTGCATTTTCAAAATCCCGATCTGGATCTGCAGATGTATCCTTAAATGATGAGTACTTTTTTTTTAGCCGGTTCCCTTGATTAACCAAACAAGAGATATTGTGGTAAGGGCAAAGGAGTTAAAAAAACGAAAGGATTCTGAGTATGATGTTTTGAACATCCGACAAGAAAACGTTGTTTCATACAGCTGAACTTAGTTAAAAAGAGGGACTTATTATAATACTGATCACTCAGTGAACGACTTTCGAAAATTTACGACGCGAAGAAGTGCGCGAACTGAAGACCTCTTTTGTATTTGTTTCCTTTTGTTTTTGCTCCTTGTAGTACTAACAGGGCTGCCCACCGCGTGGCACAAACGGCCCTTGCATCGGTAGCAACCCAGTCAGGGGCGGACCCAGGGAGTTTAGGGGTGTCCCTCGACACCCCTAAATTTTGGGAAAACGATTATCCAACTCTCGGTAGTAATTTATGTATGGACAAAAAAATATATAATTGATAGTGAGGGACACCCCTTAAATTTGAAAAAATGATTATCCTACTATCATTTGTGTATAGGAATATAAGTGGTAGTGTGGGGCACAACAAGGATGGGTGACCTTATGGGAAGTCACCCTGAATTGCACCCCAAGTTGAAATCCGTGCGGGTGTAGAGGCCCAAAGCGGACAGTATCTTGTCTGGAAAAGGTTCGGGATGTTACAGATTGTCTAGCTAGCAGTGTATATAGAGACAATTTTTTTAACACTATAGACACCAAGTGTATTCTACAATTATTTCCGAATATGAAAACATATCATGGACTTTTTTAACCTATACGAGTAAGGTATTTTCATATTTACAATTTTATTTTTATCAATTATTTTTATTTTTATTTAATTTATTTTTTAAAAGAGGACACCCCTATGAAAAAATTTATGGGTCCGCCACTAAACCCAGTTGATTGACTACCGCATTTATATTTCCACTGCATTGTAACAAACTATTTAATACAAACTATCTATGACAAAAAAAAAATTGTTTAATGGACTTATTACCACTAAGAGATACAAGTTTAAACCTAATTACCCTCGTAGGACTAAAAAATATCTTTTCCTTCGTAAGGATAATTCTTTAAGACTGTTAAAAGTTCTTTTTTTTTCCCTCCTTAATATTGGTTGCAAAAAGAATTTATCCAAAATTATAGACGAGTGGAGTATGATGTTTAGGATAACGACTAAAACTTGCATGTTTATGTTAGATCAAATATATGAGTTCTAATTACACATTCCAAAATTACTCGTATCAGATTGAAATTTGCTCAGGCATCATGCATCTTGTGCTCTACCAATGAGAGTTATTTGGAGCTCGAACAAAAGACTTCTCGATTACAAAAGTCTCTAATATCATGTCAATAACAAACTGACCTCAATAATTCAAAATGTTGTAAGAAGTTCAATTATGAATCGTATACCACTTACTAAAGTATACACTTAAATGTATTGATTAATATCCTAATACAACTCAATTAGCCGCCTCCATCAAGTAGCCGCCCCCATCACTTAATAAACTGACACTGTATGCATATATATTTTTTTTTTACTTATTTATACACTGCGTGATTCCCTAGCCAGTCCACCCTCTTCCCACGGACATCTAGCTTTCCTCCCCAGCAAACGGCAGCAGAAGATTTCACCAACTCCCGGCGGCAGCAATATTAGGCAGCGACCTCCCGAACATACTCTGTAAGTATCTTCTTCTTCTTCTTCAACTGTACCCATTTGCTTCTTTCGAGTTCCATCACATTGCTCTTGACTTGTTGCCCTGTTCCCTCTCTCTCTACAACTCATCTCGATCTCCTCTCTCTCTCTCTTTCCTGCATTTTCAAAAGCCCCAACTCTGCATCTCCAGATGCATCTTCCATTTTCCCCCAACCCTCCTTAATGGAGAAGAGTTCTGCTTCCTGCTTCATCTCTTGGAAGGAACCCATCAAAGATTCAATGCCCTGTTCTTCCGTAAACCAGTCAACGTTAATTACGTCAGGGCAAAACTCTTCCTCAGCATTAATCATCTAGTTAATTATGCAGTTAGAACGGGCTTGTCAATTAGAGTGGTCATCGCCGTAGAAAAGACAGGCCCATGTTTAAAACTCATTTATCACACTTGTCTCCATGTTGCAGGGCCCATATATATACACTCGCTAACTCCAAAATGGGCCATCAATTCACGCGAGCCCACCTGCTCCTCGTACTGATAATCGCATCCGCGGTTGCCTCACGCGCTCACAAGCTCAAATCCGCCACGTTCCTGTCGCCGGAGCTCGTCCTCGCCCCCGGCTCGGTCACCAACACGTTCCACTACAACGTCGACTTCCCGACCGGCCACATCGGGATCAAGAGCTTCCACGTCGAGCCCGTCGACTCCTCCGGCCGCCCGATCCCGCTCTACGACACGTATCTCCACCACTGGGCTCTCAACCGATACGTAATCCCCAAGGGTGGGAGTAAATCGTCATCCTCCTCCTCCGACGGCGACTCCGCCAATTTCGTGCGCAACGACGGGATATGTCAGGGAAACATTCTGGGCCAGCACTACGGCTCCGGGTCGGAGACCAGGAGGACGGCGACGTTTCTCCCCGATCCCTACGCGATCGAAATCGGGAATCCGGAGGAGGGTTTCGAGGAGAGGTGGATGCTCGGGATCCACGCGATTGACACGAGAGGGGTTGTGGATGGACAGGGATGCAGGGAGTGTTTTTGTGAATTGTACAATGTGACCATCGGCGGTGGGTACGATGGTGGATTGAAGTGCTGTGAGGACGGCGATCAGTGTAGGGTGAAATTAGGGTTTCAGGGTAGGAAAAGGAGCGTGTATTTGAGGTATACTGTGAAATGGGTTGATTGGGTGGATGGTGAGTTTCTCCCTGTGAAGGTGTTCATCGCTGATGTTACTGATACAGGGGAGAGGGATATGACTGAAACTACTGGCTGCCAGGTATGAAGATGAAATTTGAACATGTGAACTGCAATGTTTTAAGGTGAAAATTGGTGTCTAATCGTTAGATTCATTAATGGTGTTTGATTGGTGGTTGCAGGTTGAGTATGAGGTTGAGCCGTGTAGTAATGGTGATGATGATTGGTGCGTTGATGTGAAGAGATTAAATTTCACTCTGCCAGCGTCTGGTTATGTCGTCTATGGTGTCGGCCACCAGCATTCTGGAGCATTGGGTCAAGCTGTCTATCGCCAGGTGAATCATAACTTATGGTCAATTATTATAGATAGTGATTGATTGGAATTGGAATTGGAATTGGAATTGGGGTTGATAACGAATCACTTGCTACACTGTGACTTTTAACCTTCTTGTTACAACAGGTTTTCTGTCTAGATTGTTTTGATTAGCCTATCAATATAGGCAAAACTTTGAGAATGTGAGTGTTTATGTCTTCTTTAACGAGCTTCAACTCATCATATACAGAATGGAGAAGTGATATGCAAGTCAGTCCCGATCTACGGAACAGGGCACGAGGCTGGAAACGAGGCCGGCTTCGTGGTAGGGATGAGCACCTGCTACCCTGAACCAGGGTCAGTGAACGTAACGGCTGGCGAACAGCTCATTCTGGAAACTAACTATTCAAGTAGCGGGGCAAGGGGTCACTTTGGAGTTATGGGCCTCTTCCACATCTTCATTGCTGACCAACTACCACAACCACCAAAACCAACCATGGCTACTACCTTCCTCCACCGTTCGATTTCTGCAGCTCATGTAAGTATTCTGTTTACCAGCTAATTCTCTGTACTTCCTCTTTATGTGATTGGAACGTTGGTAATAGAATACACATTTCCCTCCTAATCCATTATGCTGGCTGGTGGTATTGCAGGTGTTGAGTGGATTTAGTGCTGAGTCCTGGACAATCCTTGCTGTGTCAGGATTAGCGGCGCTTCTTGTTGGTGTCGTTGGCTTCAGCATCTGGGTGAAGAAGCAGAGGGGGGCGGAAGATGGCTACCAAGTCATAATGGCATGAGCTTAGTATGATAGTCTTTGTTTCAGTTTTCTGCTGTAGTGTCCAAATAAAATGAAATCAGGCGTCTAGAAACATGTTTAGTTAAGTTGTAAGTTTACGTGGATCTTGTGGCAATAGATTGCGACAACCCAGACCCGATTCAAGAAAACTCGAAATGTTGGCTTCGACGAATTTTTTGGAGTCTGGTTGTGTGCCTTCTCCTCGATAATGAAATGTTCAATCGATTTCCAGCCTTCCAAGCTTCAATCCTCTGTTGTTGAAACTTGAAACCCACGATATAAAAACCTTTTTGATTTGTCAATCAACTTCAAATATCTCCGATTGATAGCTCGAGAAGGTACGAAACATGTGCCTGAATGTGCAAGTGTAACTATCTCATTTGAAAGGACAAAATGTGACGATGTAATGAGCACTATTTATTATACCCTGAAACCAGGCTCGTTGGACGTTGAAGCTAACAGCTCATTCTGGGAAGTTATGGGCCACTTCCACACCTTCATTGCCGACCAACTACCACGAACCATGTCTTCTACTTTGCTCCACCATTCGATTTTATGCAAGTCATGTGTAAGCATCTATCTATTCCCTCCAAACCAATTTTTGGTTGTGGTGTTTGAAGTCCAGATGATATAGAGTAAGGGAACTAATAGCCTCCATCATATTCTACTTTCTAAGGTATTATCAACATATATTAAATCTTATATTAAAAAAAAATTGAAATGAGTTGCAGTCCCTTCTAAACTACACGAAGCTTCACTACATGTGTTGCGGATGTTGAATGAATTGGCCTCAGCATTTGGCTACCGAACCAGAGCCAAACTAAGATGGCTACCAAATCGTTATATCATAATCAGCTTAAGAACGCACAGACTCATTGTTGTTACCCATCTCTTATCTTAGAATGCAGGTTAGTTATTCTGCTAACTGCATAAGTTGTTAGTATATACTAATCGTCAATTACTGGCATCGGTAAACGCCCTAAAGCGATTTGATTATAATTCAATTCTTGACGATCATAAGTAGATAGCTCATATTCTTCGGTCATTGATAAGCAATTCGTTGGACAATACTCAACGCAATTTCCACAAAAAATACAGATTCCAAAATCAATACTGTAATTAAGTAACTGTTTCTTTCGAATGTCAGTTTCAACGGGTAAATTTATAGGGCATACTCGAACACATACTTCACAAGCAATGCATTTATCAAATTCAAAGTGGATTCGGCCCCGGAAACGCTCAGCTGTAATTAATTTTTCATAAGGATATTGAATAGTTACAGGTAAACGATTTGCGTGAGATAAGGTAATCATGAAACTTTGACCAATGTATCTTGCAGCTCGGATGGTTTGTTGACCATAATTCATGAACCCGGTTATCATGGGGAACATATCTGTAATATCAATGAATAATTTTCTTTCTCTTGTTTGAGATAAGTCGTGAATGTCAAAAAGTATTCCTTTTTTTCTTTTTATAGTGAAAGGAGTTGGGAAGAGGTTGTTAATAATAGATTACCGAGAGAGATAGGTAAAAGAAATTTCCATCCAAGATTTAATAGTTGATCCATTCTTAGTCTAGGTAAAGTCCATCTTGTTGTGATAGAGATGAACAAGAACAAATAAGTTTTAACCAATGTACTAAAGATACCAATTGTTATTCCAAAGACTCTACCCACGTTATTTATTTCCAAAAATTCAGTCATGAATATGTACGGAATAAAGATATTCCAACCGCCCAAGTAAAGAACTGTTACAAATAATGAAGAAACTAATAAGTTTAGATAGGAAGCAACATAAAATAAACCAAATTTGATACCCGAGTATTCCGTTTGATAACCTGCTACTAATTCTTCTTCTGCTTCTGGTAAATCAAAAGGCAATCTCTCGCATTCTGCTAGGGAAGAGATTAAAAAAATGATAAATCCTATAGGTTGACGCCACAAATTCCAACCCCAAAAACCATATTTTGATTGTGCCTCAACTATATCAACTGTACTTGAACTGTTAGATAATCATAGTCGGTGATAATATCACTATTCCCATCGCTATTACAGAACCGTACATGAGATTTTCACCTCATACGGCTCCTAGAAGGCCATAAAAAAATATAAATCGGATCAGATTCTTTTTCTTTATCTTGTATCTTGATCTGTTTGTACGATAGATAGGAAAAAATCTATCGGACATTCCAAAATTCGACCAATGAAATTCTGTCGGTTAGAATAACTTCTGAATTGATCTCATCCTCTAAGATAAGAATTTCATTGTAATATGTTTTTCTTTCTTGAGTAATAACTTAAATCCTTCAATAAAATACTCCTTGTAGCAATATCAATAGCTATCTCAACTTATGGTTTTCACGTACCAAAATTTTTTTTGATTGCATTAATTCATAAATTATGACACGAGTTTGATCTCTATCAATATAAATAAGCTAAGCTAACAAAGAAGATATAAGATATAGGGAAGAAGAAAAAAATCTCTTTTTTCCTTCCTATTCTTCTTTCTGAAAAAAAAAAGAAAGGATTATTTCGTTCCTGATAGTTATTTCTTTAATCGGTGGGTGGGAGCATACTCTGGATCGGAATCATGGGGAGTACTGCTCGATCATTTCTACCAATTTTAAGCCCCAATAAATATTCTTTTATGCAGAAATTTTTTTGATAATTTAGAAATTCTCTCTTACTAATCCTTTGTGTATCTTGGTGTTCCTAACCATCTACTCATATTTGCGCAAGCACTCTTTAGCATTAGGGTAATACATCTAAATAATAGTGAAAACTAAATACTAAATAATGGTCTTTTAAACCCGCTTCAAAGTAGGTTGACTAATCAACCAATCGTGGGGCAACCAGTCTCGTGTTCTTATGTTTATTTCCGCTTTATTCTTGTACATAGGAAATGAGTCTCAAGTTTTTTTTACTACAAATTTCAAAGCAGTTTTCTTTCACTCATATAACTATTCAATTTTCTTCATCATCCCAAAAAATGAATAGAAAAAAACTGAAGATATCTATTCAATTTATTTTGCTTTCTTCTAAAAGAGAAAGCAAGAAGGAAATGTTTCTGTTTCAACGAATCGCACGTAGAGATATGGATAATACGCAGAGAGTTAATGGGATTTCATAACTAATAGATTGAGCAGCAGCTCGTAGACCACCTAAAAAAGAATATTTATTATTTGATCCATATCCTGACATAAGAAGTCCGATCGGAACAATACTTGAAATCGCAATCCATAAAAAAACACCCATACTTAAATCCGATAAAACAAAGCGATAGGCAAAAGGAATTACTGAATAGCTTAATAGAGTTGATACGACTGCTATAGCCGGGCCGATACTGAATAAACGAGTATCTCCTCGAGATGGAAAAAGATTCTCTTTGAAAAGAAGTTTTGTCCCATCCGCTAGAGCTTGAAGAACTCCCAAAGGACCGGCATATTCAGGTCCAATACGTTGTTGTAGCCCCGCAGATATTTCTCTTTCTAACCATACAATTACTAGTACACCTATTGTAATTCCCAATACAAGAGTCAAAATAGGGGCAAGGATCCATAGAATTCCATAGATTTCGTTTAAGGCTTCCAATCTGAAAAAAGAATTGACTAACTAATATCCAAAATGTATGAACTAGTATCCAAGTCTGCTGATTTTACCAAAGTATCTAGATAACACAGACTAGTATTCAAAATATCACAAACTAGTATCCAGATAGCATATACCAACTAATATCCACAATCAGCCAACTAGTATCCAATATGAATACTCTTATGTGTTATCTGGATACTAATTATGTGCTGTGTGGATATTATTCTGTGTTGTCTAGATATTAGTTTGTGAATTTGGGACAATAGTTGATTCATGGTGGATATAAGTTAACAAAACTTGAATACTAGTTTGTGCTCTCTAGATATTTTAGTACTTAGATACTAGTTCATGTATTTTGGATATCAGTTGGTATCTGCTAACGAATGTTCAAGTTAGCAGATTAACTTTTCGTTTGAGATGAAGAACATAGAAGAGTCACGAGACCTGTCTGGATTCAAGCAGACTAAGATTCAAGCACTAACACGGACCAACTAAGCCCATCTGCTCCTTGGGCCAAGCCCGCTTCTAAGCTTCCCCCTCCTGCTTTGGCAAGACCTCTCCTCTCATCTCTCAAGGTCAACTGACCTGTTTCCCATCTAAATGGGAAAGTGGAAAGCATATTGTTCACGCATTTAGAATCATCTAATTTGCGCTTTGCCAATTGATAACTGTTTCCCATCCAAATACTATGAATGGCGGAAGTTGTACGCATACTATTAATCATTTAAATTAATCTAATTTGCAATATGATTACGCATTTAAAGTCACCTAATTTTTAATTTAATAGATCATTGTACTGCAACAGAATTCGATTAAACTGGATTATCATCCAAATTGTGAAAGTGACCAGCTCTCTAAGCCAGGCTGTGGCCCAAAAGCCACCGGCCGTGGCTGTTCGGAGGTTGAACCAGGCAGCACGAATTAGGCAACAAAAAGGAAAGAAAGGCAAAAAAATCTCCCAAACAAATCAAGAACAGAGCAAATCCATCCGATGAAGATCTGAATAATAATAATAATGAATCAATGGTTAATAATAATGAGAAACTTTTTCATCTGTTCAATTGACAATTGTAATATTAGCAAACAACTTTCCCCCCCTCCGATGTGTATCGATTCTCTCTGCTGTCTCGTTTCATTCTCTACTCTAATAATCTAGATCTGGCCTTCGCCCCTACGCAGTCGTCAGATGACGGAATACAGAACCAGCTGATCAGCGGAATCAACTCCCATGGAGGCCTTGAGGCTGAATCCACCAGCAGATTTCACACCGCTGCTGCTCTGCGCCGCCGCCGTAGCCTGATTACTCCCGCCGGCGAGATCTTGGTGGTACTGGTCGGCGTTGGAAGGAGGGTGGTAGTACATCCGAGCAGTCTGCGGGCAGTGGGAGTAGAACCTCCCGACGATTCTGGCGCCGACGTCGAGCAGCTCGATGTACTTCCCCATCGCCGCCGGTAGATTAAAATGCTCCTTGCGACGGATTGTAAAATTGTAACTGCAGAGAAGGTTTTGGGGAGGAAGACTCTCTTTCTCTCTCTCACGCTGGATTTTCGCTTCGAGGTGGCGTGGAATGTGGGGAGAGGAATTAGGAATTGCGCGGCGTCGAGGTGGAGAATGGAGAAAAAAGGGGCTCTTTTTATATGGATCAGGGGAGGCTTTCTCTGTGCTTTCTTGGGCGGCCCATTTAAACTGATTTTAGTTTTAGTTTTTATTTTTTCTTCCCTCAGCAATATTGCGGTCGTTTTGAGGCGATTGGATGAACTTTCCTTGCCGTTTCCCCTCTGTTTGGTTTCTAATTTACCGTTTCTGTTCGTTTCTTTTTTATAACTATTTTCCCGTATTTGCAGTTTGCCCCTCCGACTTTGCTTTTATTCCCATCTTGAGGATGTGGGCCGTGGGCCTGCAGGGCGGCATGGGGTTAAACATAATTTAATCACTCTATACTTGACTTATTATGTTAAACAATTATCTCCCTCCATGTTCTTTTTTTTTTATCTATTTGTCAAAGGACAACGGATGCATATAAATGAACAATTTTTATAAAAAATAAATATTAGTTTGAAGTTTCCTTCATAGATAAATCTAGGGTAATTTAGATATGCTTCAAGATGACGAAAAAAGTGTTCCCTGAATGTCCTTATAAATCATGATCGAGGTTTTGTTGCGATTTGAAGTACTACATCATATTTGAAGTTTCCAACCTACCATGTTTTGGTGTACCACATAATGGGGAATCCTTAATTCAAATTACAAGTCTTGGTGTCAAATTTGTCATCAGTGCTACGACATTTTTTAAGACTCTTGTATCGTTTTGGGTCGTTGGTATTTGACCTTTAACTATATGAGTTTTGCTAAATGCTAACAAGTGTGGCTACGTCAATCGTGACTTCTCTATCTTTGTATTGTTTTTGGATATCTCCACCAATGCAGTAAAAAATTGTGTTTTAAAACTTAAAAACTTACTATTTTACACTTCTAGGTCGGCAAAATGCTTTCGTTTCCATATAAATTCTTTAGTGTATAGAATCGGACTAAATTACGCTTTTACGCTTTCAGTTCACCAAAACGCTTTACGCTTTTACGTTTCTAGTTCACTAAATGGGTATTCTATTCATGAAATTAATTATGAAAAGTATATTTTAAAGGTAAATCACCAACAATATGTTACATTTGATATCAAAATATACATACCAGGTACTTCGATGCATTCATAGCTTCAATAGAGTAATCTAATTCATCAGCTAGACCCCTCCCATATTAATTAGCATAGAGGGGAAGGTGACTTATTATTAAGATCTATGTTTATGAGCTTATTGCTAAGATGTTATGAGTTTCTCTATTTTAGACATGGATTGCAGGTGTTCATTAACTTATATAAATTATGTGCACTCATATTTTGCACATTTTTAGCTATTTTACAGTATGCGCAAAAAACTTACGTTTTTACGTTTTGATTCTACGCTTTACGATTTTACCCATTTTCCGTTTCTAGATAGAATCGCACTTTAAACTACATTGATGTCCACTAGCTATTCATGATGGCATCATTTATTTGTCTACCTTATTTTACATTAGTCCCTCCGTGCTTGCACCCTATAATCTACCAAAACGAAAGATTACATGGTACAACTTTGATATGGCCACAGTGCCACACTGATCAATTGTTATCGAAAGTTTGAATGTTTGTTCACAGGTTTAACAATTGGTAACTTTTCAGTTTTTAGGAGATGATAAATGGTAAGGATACGTTTTGGCAGGGGGCTGAAGATAAATACGAGAAAGCAGTGGCCTTGAAAGCAAATTCGATTTAATTCAGGATTGCACCAGGCATATTCCAAGTCATCATGAGCTTTTTTTATTTTATTTGATTCCATTCTGGAAATTGTTCAATGAATGCGTAACTTGCGGTCCATGTGGCGGGGAGGAATGGATTCCTGGAACGAAGACCGGCGAATTTCCATTACCAACCGACCGACCGCGTCAAGCTTTGGCGTTACGCGTTTGTGATTCCCAGCGTTTCTTTGACGGCGCTCTCTATCTCCTTCCCCCAAGCCAAGAATTTGGTGCTCATTTGACTTCAGGGTTATTTTTTTTTTATATTTCACCCATTTTTCTAACCTTTTTTTTATTATTATTATTGATGTTATTCTGTCTACTCACGCCGTTCAATACAAATACCAAACTAACGGTAAAACTTGTTGATCAAGGCAGTACAACCTTTCCCCCAGTTTATGCCGTGCATTATTCCTCAAGGCATATTACTAGCTTGTTGATGAGATTTTCATTTAATCTCTCTATGAAAAGAGGTGAATGCACGTAAGGTGAAGACAAAAGTTCAACGATATTCGATGTACTCCGAAGATCAGAAATCGACAGTACATGTCGATATATTCGACTTTACCGTAAATACAGAAAATAAAATGTCATTTTCATTAGCTATCGAGACATGATATGGTCCTTCCCCGAAATGATAGAAGGTGACGTAACCACCGCTTTAAAAGTCTTTCTGAAACACTCAATCGTTTGGACGATATGGCGTTCTAGATTTTTAGGGCGGTGGTGAGATGGTGGTTTCCAAAATCAATCAATGTAGTGAAAGCTATATCCTCCGCCAATTTCAAGCTTAATCCGTCCCAAACTCTTGAGCTTCTTCTCCATGGGGAATCAATCCCATATATCTAGAATAGAATCAGAGGAAATCCAGGCAATTATTCATTTGATGCTTTCTTGGAAGCAAGTGGCTCCATAGGTTCTCTAAGCATATGCTCATGATCGGAAGACAACAGGTCGTGGTAGCCTCTGAGTGTGACAAGGAAAACAGTGCAAATAACTTCGTCGTTCAAATCCTGAGTCATACATCACAATGTAATTAACTACAAATCTGGAGACAAGAGATCACAATGTAATAGAACTACATCATGCATCTCACTCAATTCAGATGGCTAGTGACAAGAGCAAGAAGAACAAAAAAAAAAAAAAAAACACCAAATCATTACCAGGGTTACATGAGTGGCTTGGGTCGGCGTGGGTCTTCTATAATCGCTTCCTTTTGGCCTTTCAGACGTAGCAGATGCGTCTCGCAGTTACCCAGAAAGTCCAGGTAAACTTGAGCTTGATACACTTTCTCGGCGTCTTTAGGATCGGCGCAGAGCACGTTAGTAGCCTTGAATGTGATGTAGTAATTGCTACCCGCAACAGCTACCCGGTTGGCCCTCAGAATATCACCCGCTTCGAGCTTCAGCTCCTAGAAGAGGAAGACAGCCGGGGTGCCAAGTGAATCAAAGCCGCAACAACAAACACATAAAGGGAATCACATGAGGAGGGTATCATGCAAACCTTAATGTCTGCTTCATTCACTTGGTTAACCACGTGATCCACGCATTCGCGGACATTGTTGAACGAATAATCGTTCTTCAAGTTGACAGGCGAAACCCCGTGTACAATGCAATCCACCGGAGGAAATTCGGTGAAGTCAAATCCCTAAGGTAATTTCACAGGCAGGGGAAATTAACAAAAAGAATACTAGTGTCTGTAAGGAATGTCAAGAACCAGTTGGTCCCAATAACTCGAGTTGTTGGGAGAAGGTTCTGCTGGATCTTATACCACTCTCTAACAAGGAAAAGGAACACGGGGGAGATGAAGCAAGACATACCTCGCTTTCGATAACCTCGTCATAGAAACGCCTCAACTTCGCCATGCCAGCTTCGTCTGAAGGGAAAAGGACCAGGGGCTTCCGAGCAACCTTAATCGACGTCGACTCTTCCTCTTCACTCTCTTCCATGTCGGTGTCGCAGTCATCTTCTTCTGTGACTTCGACATCGCCGGCGGCTTCATCCATCGTCTTCTGCTTCTTAGGCTCCGGTCCCGGAGTTGATTCGACGTCGCTCCTTGATGGTTTGGAATCCATATATGGCCGCCGGAAAAAGGGATGGAATTGGCGGAAAGTAGCAAGCGGAAACCCTAGGAAGGGACACGAGAATGAAATTACAAATTAGAGATCTCGGTATTATTTGTAAAATATATTTCCTTTTTTTTTTTTTTTGCTAAATAGGATTGTGACATCGCCTAATGAAATTTATATAGGAAAAATCAACGGTATGATATTTTAAACTAAAGTCGTGGTTTAATCGTGATTCAATTGTTTTTTTGTCGCTAAAAGTGCTTACCGTTTTGGGTCCGGTATGCAGTATTTCCTGTCCGACCGATCACGATCAGTACGATAGGTCATCTAAAGCACTATTTTGTAACTGGTTTTTATCATTTTGTTTCATGTTTGTAAGTATAATGTTTTAATTACATTAACGATCGCTAAAATTTAAACTCTTAAATTTTCTCCACCGCCGGCTTCTTTGGTTCCGATTTTAATTTCAATGTCGACAAGACCACGAGTCGATTTAAGGCTCGAGAGTTATGAATTAGTGATCACTGGTTTTCACCTCTTTATATATCCACCACCAAGAAGGTACACAATATCTTGCTTATTTCTTAGTGGAATGATGATGGACGCAGTTTGTAAGCGGAGTTTATTGCTCTACACAGCCTGCCTTTGACTCTATTGCGCCAATTAAATTGTCCCTACTGTTAGGCCAATTCCAATTCGAAGTATTAATTTATGGATGAACTTAGACAATATGCCACAGGTGCGTAGAAGGTTTTGTCTTTTTTCTATCTTATTGATCATATGGTAGATTTAGCTAGATTGAGATGGGTATGCAAGCTATCTTAATGCATTGTCGGAGTTAGGCTGCTCAACATAATTCTCTTGATAGTTCAAGTCAGATGGTGAAGGAAGTTATTGAGTGATCACTCCCAAGTAAGCTTCCACCAAGTTGTCTTAAATTCGTTACCAGAATGCTTAGTCATCAGTTGGTAACTTGTGCGAGTTGTGTATTTTTGTACCATAAGCTTTTACAAATGCCGATCTTCAAAAAACATGTTGTCGACTTCCATGACTTAACAAAAAGAAGCATGATTCATATTTTGTACGAAAGCCGTTCCCTTCAGATTTGCTAATAGATTTATGTTGTGTATTTTATAGGAAAATGCATCTCATTGCTGGAACAATGAATGGTTCATTGACTACAAGTTATTTATGGTTTATCTACTATTGGAGATCCTACTGCTGAGATTGAAGTCATCTTCCTTTCTTACCACCTTCATAGAATTGGATGTGATGTGTTGAATGGTGATGATGCTCATTGGATATAGAATTGGTCAATATCCTCATCTTAAAGTCATTCCAGATCATGATTCAAATCAGCACTTGGAACCAGAACGCTCCATTACTGTGCTTTGATCTTGCTGAAGTTGTTCCCAGCTTTCGTCAACTAATATTATGTCTATGTTTACAATATGTCCTTAGTTTCCAATGGACAATTTATCTAGCTTAATTTCCTCCTCCTTGGATCCTTTCTGCCTACTTTGATTTTGTATTGTTACATACCCTATAGTTATAATAGAACAACTTTTCTATCCCCTGCGTCACACCCATGCGCTGTGTTTATTGTTGTCATTTTTGTAACCCTTTGCAGTTTGCATATTATTCCTTTTCTATCTCACAAAAACAGTCTGTAATTTTTTTTTATTAAATTCAAGTCGGTGATCAAATTGGCAATCGTAGTGAACTCAATAAATATGACATGTATTGTATGCTAGGAAATGACAGCAGATAGTGACCGAGAACCGTTGATCGTGATTCCACTCTGGTTCCGAAGCCATCGAAGCAAAGAATTAAGCCAAACTGGTTCAGCTTTGAACTTGGCTCTCTGCATCTCGTTGTTGTCAAGCAGGACTTCCAGTCGGCTCCTTTTTTGTATCCCACGGAATACAACAAGTATACTATTCGACTATGGGGTTTAGGCTTTAATCAACTGCCGATAGAATTTGTAAATAAACACAGTGCAGAAAAGGAGATCATCTGGCAAACAACTACACGACCAAGTTGATAACAAAATCAGTGCAATAACTAGTTCATTGTTCAGATCCGATTCATACATCACAACGTTAACTACAAGTCTGGAGACAAAAGACCATAAATGATGGGTGAATGGGGATAGATGGACAGACAGACCTCTCCAACGCAACACTAACAGACCACGAGCTTCAAACTCGTCTCATGAAGAGACTCCTTGACGGTCAACTCCGGCGTCACAGTCGCATGGACCAACACTCTCGCAGCCGCAATCGCCGTCGGTGTTCGTGTTCGTGATACAGCCACCGTCCGTTGAGTCCTCGACTGCCCCGAAGAATCGAGAATAGAAACAAATTCAGCTCAAAATTGAAACCACAAAGGCTAAGCAAGAAATCCATCTCAGAACAGAAAACACCAATACATTACCACCAGGGTACATGAGTGGCTTGTTTCGGCGTGGGTGTTCTATTATCGCTTCCTTCTGGCCTTTCAGACGTAGCAGATGCGTCTCACAGTTACCCAGAAAGTCCCGATAAACTTGAGCTTGATACTCTTTCTCGGCGTCTTTAGGATCGGCGCAGAGCATGTTAGTAGCCTTGAAAGTGATATAGAAGTTGTTACCCATGACAGCTCGGCGGTTCGCCCTCAGAATATCACCCGCTTCGAGCTTCAGCTCCTAGAAGATGAAGACAGCCGGGTAAGTGAATCAAAGCCGCAACAGCAAACACATGCAGGGCAAAAGGGAATCACAGGAGGAGGAATCAAATTCAAACCTTAATGTCTGCTTCATTCACTTGGTTAACCACGTGATCCACGCATACACGAACATGGTTGAACGAATAATCGTTCTTCAAGTCGACAGGCGAAACCCCGTGTACAATGCGATCCACCGGAGGAAATTCGGTGAAGTCAAATCCCTAAGGTAATTCACAGGCAGCGTAATTAACAAAAGAATACTACTGTTTGTAAGGAAAAGGTATACGGGGGAGAAGAAGCAAGCAGTTGCTGTTCTAGGCATACCTCGCTTTCGATGACCTCCTTATGGAAACGCCTCAACTTCTCCATGCCTTCTTCGTCTGAAGGGAAAAGGACCAGGGGCTTCCGAGCAACCTTAATCGACGTCGACTCTTCCTCTTCACTCTCCTCCATGTCGGTGTCGGTGTCGCCGTCATCTTCTTCTGTGACTTGGACGTCGTCGGTGGCTTCATCCATCGTCTTCTGCTTCTTAGGCTCCGGTCCAAGATCAGTTTTGCTCGAGGAGGAGCCAGATCCCGGAGCCGATTTGACGTCGCTCATTGATAGATCGGGATTAGCATCCGTAGCCAGAAGCTCATGGCCGAAGATCGGCGTCGTGAGATTGGAATCCATGGCCGCCGGGAAAAAAGGATGGTTCGCAGAATGTAGCTGGCCGAAACCCTAGGGAGAAAGGAAATTGGGGATCTCTTATTCCCCGCGCCGCAAATGTCTTTCTTTTATCGAAGCGCTACCTTGTATAACACGTGTGGATGGATCTTCGAAATAGGGTGACCAATAGCAAAAACATAAGAAATTTTGCTACTGATTACTTAGTTAATAATAAAGACAATACCAAGATAGTGCTAATTTGGGTACACATATGTTCGATACGGAGGATCCAAACCGGCCGTTTCATTTAATTACGTACAACTCTTTTGCGTCCGTCTTTATATAAAAAAATAAAATACAAGAGATCCCCAATTCCATCGTGCGTTCCTCCCTCCCTCTCTCCCTAGGGTTTCCTCTTGCCAATCCTTTTTTTCCGGCGACCATGAATCCCAACCCACAAACCCCGCTGCTGCCCACGAATGGATCTGGCTCCTCCTCGAGCGAAACCGAACTTGAATCGAGTCCGAAGAGGCAGAAGATCGATGAAGATGATGGCGGCGACGTCATGGGCAGTGGCGACGAGGAGGAGGAAGAGTGGACTCAGACTATGGGGAAGCCCTTAACCTTGTATCCTAAAACCGAAGAAGACGAGAAGAAGATGTCGCTCTTCTATGACCAGGTTTTGGCTAGCGAGGTACGCACGTACATAGCCGCAACTGTTATTGGCTTCTGTTAGAGTAGTAGTTTTTGTTGGTTGCTCATTCTGAATTACGTACCTTTAGGGATTCGACTATGACCAACAGCCCCCGGTGGACGTCGTTGAATACGGGGTTTTGCGGGTCAACATGAAGAATGCTGGGTGGCGCGAGCTTGTCGTCGAGTGTGTTGATCACGTTGTCGACGAAATGAACAAATCGTCCGACGGGGTTTGATATGATCCTCCCCCCTTTTGCTCCATCCATCAATCTGTCTGTGTTTTTTGTTGTTGTTGGCAATGCAGTCAAAATCGCGCTTTAAAACTTAAAAGCTTACATTTTTACCTTTTTGGGTCACCACAACGTTTCTACGTAGAATCATGATTTTCCCTTACAAATGTAGTCAAAATCTACGTTTTAAAACTTAAAAGCTTACGATTTTTACGCTTCTAGGTCACCAAACCACTTCTAGGTAGAATCGCGCTTTTTACTGCATTGGTTGCGGGTACTTTTCCCAAACCAAATTGACTTGGCACGACCCTATTGCATCTGTTGTCTTTGTCTTCTAGGGGTGGAAGTTGGTCGCTGGTGATATTGTGAAGGCCAATAGGCGAGCTGTCCAGGGTTGTATCTTCTTCATCACATTCAAAGCAACCAACTTTGCTGATCCTGAGAAAGAATACGAAGCTCAAGTTTATCGCAACTTTACCGGTGAGTGTAGGACGGACCTGTTCCGTGTGAAAGGACAGAAGGAAGCGATTCTGGAAAGCACCGACCGGTGGAGGATGACCATGTACTATGGTAATATATATTTTTTTTCTTCTTCTTCTTAGCTGCATGCTCTAATATTGCTTATTGAAATTTCCTCTGGCTTGTGCTCTTGTAAAGGTTTCTTTTGCTTTGCTTTTGGTTAATTTAGATTGAAGTGCTGTAAGTGAAGCTGGAGTCGGCAGTTAAGTTAAGGGGAGTCCACTTTTAAGGCGATTGTGAGTTTGAAGCCCGTGGTCCTGCTAGGCTGGCTACCGTTGCATTGGAAAGGTCGTCTAGCTATGAGTTGGTGTCTCCAAACTGCTAGTCAATGTTGTTATGAATTGGATTGAAACGGTGGACTTGTCGTACTGCCCTCCGACTTTTAACTATGTGTTTGTGTGTTTTTGTTTCGAGACAAGAATGAGAATTCGATGATGACGACGGATTGAATTGAATGCAAAATATGATATACTTTATTCACAAACAACATATTCGATAAAGGGGGGATACTATTAATAAGTCCCTAAATTGGATGTGATACATTAGGGCATTCTCTCTTTTTCGGTTTAAGCACACTTGTTGTCCCTTTTATATTCCGAGGCATTCTAGCCGACTTGCTCGCTAAAAGAAAAATGAGGGGGTGAGGAGACCGCAACATAAAGATAGAAGAGAAGGGAAGAGGAGAGGAGAGCAGAGGAGACTACGACACTCCCATTTTCCCCCCACCCCACTCAGACAGGATAGTTTATAGTATATGTCCTACTTAATAGATTTTTAATTATTTTTCAGTATGCGTCAAAAACTTACACTTTTACGCTTTGATACTACGCTTTACGATTTTACCCCTTTTACGCTTCTAGGTAGAATTTGCGCTTTTGACTGCATTGTTTCTGGGTAAGTGTGAGATGTTGCTGCTACGTCAGATAGGCCAAAAAGAAGCAATTATAGAAGACCCATGCAGAACCAGGCCACTCATGTATCTTGGTAATAGTTTTGTGTTTTTTCTGTTCTTATTCTTGTCACTAACCATATGAATCGAGTGAGATGCATGATATAGTACTATATCTGCGTAACAACTGGTGGGTTCGTATTTGCTACATGTTTCTCCGTTGTTTCGTTCAATTGCTTAATGACTGAATTTCTTGTGAAGGTTTCTTGTTTGGCTTCTAGTGGTAACAATTTTGAGCATAATTTCTTTATTTTCTCGATTCTTTGGGCAGTCAATGATTCAACGGGCGGTAGCTATAATACGAATACCAACGTCGACTGCGGCTGTGAGGGTGATGGTTCATGCGACTGTGACGCCGGAGTTTCCTGTTAAGGAGTCTCTTTATGAGAGGAGTTTGAAGCCCGTGGTTTCGTTAGGCTAGCTACGGCTGCATTAGGTTATAGAGGTCTGCCTGTCTATTCCCACCATTTATGATCTCTTGTCTCCAAACTTGTAGTCAACTTGAATCGTGTTGTTGTGTTCTAGATGATCTCCTTTTAGGTAACTCTTGAATGCCTGACAGTTTTGAAGTTACAAATGGCTGCTCCCTTTTGGTTTTATTTTATTATTGAATACGAAAACATCAAAACTTTTGTTTGATTCAATTTTTATAATGTTAGTTTATTAACTAATGACTGTTGATGAAACTAAAAACGGTAAGAAACAAATGAAAAGTAAAATATTGATCATTAAAATGAAAGTGGATGAAAAAAAATTAAATTAAAAAGTAAATGTACAAACTTTGATGAAAAATAAGGAAAATAGAAAAAAGTTTTGTTTGGTGGTCATGAACTTCCAAGCTATGTTGATATTTGTGTTGAAAGAGATTGATCCATTCAAAATTGTGAAGGATAAATGGATAGAATTCAAGATTTCATAACACCTTTAAAACCACTATGAAGGATAGCAATTTTTTAACATATTCATTGGTGTTTGAAAAAAAGACTTGCCGCAAGGCGAGAACCATCATGAAGTAGTTCACTAATAAGGTGAAGGTGTAAGAAAGTAATGTGCAACTCCCTACTACTTATTACCCTCAATTCCCCACTAAAAGAGATGTGGATGAAATGAATTTAAATTTAAAAAGTAAACAAGTTGATGAAAAATAAGGAAAATGCACAAATAAGTTTGTAAAGTTGATAAAAAATAAGGAAAATAGACAAATAAGTTTGTGTGGTGGTTCTTTATCATTTGTCTCGGTTATCGGGACAATCAACTTCTCATAATGGAAAGAGAATGTTGAATTCAACTTGTGAGAACTTGATTAAGTCATTCATATATGACAAATTCTTTGTAGTAAATTTTTTGAAAGATCTCAATTATAAAATTGGATGACACACGCATTATGCACGATAATTGTATTGATATGACGAACCTTGTTCAAGACTAAGGAGTCTAGAAATGATGTTGTATGATTCATTTCTCGTTCAACTTATTCTAAATTCCTTGCTTTCTCAATAAGGGCCCTTCCAAATTCATTACAATGTCATTAGTGAAAAGTGTATTGTAAACAAATTTGCAAGTGAATTAGCACTATAGAGAGTAGGTTAAACCAACAAAGTATTAAGGTTGCACATCTTGTCCAAGGAGCTGGATCTAAAGTTGGGAACAAACATAACTAAAGTTGTAAAGGAGCACCACCCAGGCCAAATGACCTCAATAACACAAATGAGGATAAGAGAAAGAACGATGATTTGTGAAAATGTTTGCAAGAAATCATAGCATTTTCTAAAAAAAATGTAGGCAACAAAAGTAATGGTTTAAATTTTAAAATTAAAGGTAACCCCATAGGTTCTATAAGTTTTTTTCAAATGGAATGTTTATTTTCTTTTTCTCATACTTTGTGGATTAATTCTGGTATCAATGTTCGTGTCTCACACTCAAGCGTGGATTCGTTACGACCCAAACCATCAATCCAAGCGAAAATATCTTATTCATGAGAAATTAGGGTAAGGAACTAGTTGAAGCTATTAACACTTATTGCCTTATTTTATATAGTAGATTTGGGTTAGATTTATTTCAGATTCTTTATGTCCAACTACTTCAATAAGCAAACTCGACGTTTGTGGTCTCAAAGTTAATCATGAAGATGGTTGTTTGAGTTTATTTTTTAATTTTAGTCATATTGTTTCCGCAAATTTAATTTATTGACTTCATAATTTCATTTTGCTATTCAAAATTTAGAGACTCATCCCACCATGGGTATCATAAGATCAGGCTATGAATACCATGTAAGGTATGATGAAACTAAACAACATCTAGGACATTTTGCACGACTTTTACAAAAACATAGAATTATAAGCCAATACACATGCAATGTACGGTTCTCCATGGCAAAATAGTGTATCTAAAAGGTGAAACCATACCTATATGAAAATGGTTAGATCAATGATGAGTCATGCTGACTTATCAAAATCAATTTGGATGTAGTCCTTACGCACAACTGGTTACATTTCAAAATAGGTTCCTAGCAACGTAATTCAAAAAATCCTTTTGAAATATGGAAATGTTGGAAACCTAGTATAAAATATATCAAAGTTTGGGGATCCTCAACTAAGACACGGATTACAACCCACGTGGAAAGAAATTAGACTTCAAGATGTTTAGTGGTTATATTATTGGCTACCTAGAGAAATCCAAAGGATACATGATCTATTGTCCGAACCATAGTACAAGAATTGTTGAAACCATAAATGTTAGATTCTATGTAAATGAAGAAACTAGTGGGAGTGACGAAGGATAAAATATAATCATTTAAGAAGTAAGAGAACCAATCACTTTAGATTTGCCCTTAAGTTCAAGTAATGTCGAAAATATCCTAGTTGCCAAATAATAGACACTAAGGAAACTAATAATTCACAACTCCATAAATGAGGTTCTTGCCACTAATGTTCATTTGCAGTTCGTAGCCACTAGCCAGAAATTCATCTAAGGTAGATCTTATGTGAAGTTTTAGGATGTGGTTTCATATTTTTAAAAAATTCTACTTAAAGTACGCTCATTATACAAATTATGAGGGAATGTCATCTTTAAAGTACACTGATAAATTATTTATGATTTCATCACTCATATGATTCTGAAGTGTCATGTTGTTCACTACATTAAGTGCTCATTAGCGACACTCACATCGAGGAGGAGCCAATGATTAAGGTATTCCGAAATCCCTAGTCATTTTTTTTCCTTCAGACGAATAAGGCATGGAGAAGTTGAGGCGTTTCTATAAGGAGGTTATCGAGAGCGAGGTATGCATATATAACCGCAACTGCTTGCTTCTTGTTCTCCCCCCATATACTTTTCCTCTTTTACTTTATTAAGTTTCCTTGCATCTGAATAACCTTAGGGATTTGACTTCACCGAATTTCCACTGGTGGATTGCATTGCACACGGAGTTTTGCCTTTCAACTTGAAGAAAACTTATTCGCTCAAGAATGTTTGTGAATGTGTGGCTTGCGTGGTTAATGAACCGAACACAGCAGAGGATGGGGTTTGGATTGATTCCTCCTCCTCCTATCCCTTTTTTCCCTGCAGGTGTTTGTGTAATTGCCTTTGAGAGTTTTGCGCGCCTGTTTTGCTGATTCACTTGCGATATGTCCGGTTGTCTTCCTTTTATGTGCTGAAGCTGCAAGTTGGTGATATTCAGAGGGCCAACAGGCAAGCTATCAATGGTAACAATTACTACATCACATTCAAGGCCACAAACTTGCTCTGCACCGATCCTAAAGATGCCGAGAAAGAGTATCAAGCTCAATTTTATTGGGACATTCTGGTTAAGTGTGAGACTATGCTGCTATGTCAGAAAGGCCAACATGAAGCGATTATAGATGACCCACGCCGACCCAGGCCACTCATCTATCCTAGTAATGTATTGGTGTTTTTTTTTTGTTCTTGCTCTTGTCACTAGCCATCTGAATCGAGTGAGATGCATTATATAGTACTCTATCTGCATAACAACTGGTGGGTTCGTATTTGCTACATATTTCTCCTCTACTTAATGACTGAATTTCCTCTTGCTTGGCTTTTAGTGGTTTCAATTTTGAGCTGAATTTCTTTCTATTCTCGATTCCTTGGACAATCAAGGATTCAACGGGCAGTGGCTGTAACACGAACACCGACGGGGATTGCGGCTGTGAGGGTGATGGTCCATGCGACTATAACGCTGGAGTTGACAGTTTAAGAGTCCCTTTATGAGAGGAGTTTGAAGCTCGTGGGTCTGTTAGGCTAGCTAGTGCTGCATTAGGTTAGAGAGGCTTGTCTGTCTATCCCACCATTTATGATCTCTTGTCTCCAGAGTTGTAGTCAACTTGAATCTTGTGGTCCAGTGCTAGATGATCTCCTTTTGGGTAACTCTTGAATGCCTAAGCAGTTTTAAAGTTACATATGGTTGCTCCCTTTTGCTTTTAATAGCAAAAGGCATATAAAAAAAATATTTTAAAGAATAATAGTTTTAATGTTGACCCAAAAGTGAAAGTAATCTTATGTTATTCTTAATCATTCTTTTCATATGTTTGTTATTTACAATAGCATGTGGTCGATGAACTTGCATAAGGTAGAAGGGTCGTCGTATAGATTATTTATGTTTAAACTTCTTTCATGACACTATTGTTTCAATTTGTATGGGTAGTTGTTGATTCTGCTGTAACTTTTTGTTTGTGCATGATTAGTACCAGGCGGTTTGTGAAGACCTTGATCTGGACTCACTCGTCTGATCTCCTCGGGGGAGGAAGAATATGTGGAGAGGAGGGGGTGGCCCCCGTGATCTACACTCCGACGCTCAAGTTAGTGCGGGATAGATGATAGTGTATAGAGAATTGTAGAGAGAGAACCATAAGTGTGATAAATGTGGGAAGAGAGAAAAGTCCCATGCTTGGAGGGCTTGGACCTCCTTAATTACATAGGAGTCGGAGGTATCCAGTGGGTAGACGCCCCTGGTGATGGACGCGTTTGGGTGCTTGGACGCCTCTGGAATGACTGGACACTAGAATGGACTTGGACTCAAGATGAGACGCCTTGTGGTGGGCTTGGGCCCTTATTAGGCGGGTTATTACTAGACCCAACACTTTTGCATAATGAACCAGCTTCGATCTTTTCAAGAAGTATTTAGAAAAAACACTTGAGTGTTTATCTAAAAAAACTATCATAATTACTTTCTAATATAAGAGGTAATGTAAAATGTCTAAAAAATATTTCTTACATAAAATATGAATCATGTTGGCTCAAGCTCAGCTCGTTAGTAAATGAGTCGAGTTTCATACGAGTTTTTCTCGAGTCGAACGTCGAGCCACTCACGAACAGCTCGGCTCGTTTGCAGCGCTATCCACAACACTTGTGAAAATGATAAAACATAATTGACAAATCATATGATGGTGGTGCTTTCAGGATTCTAATACTGATACATACAGCCTTCTCTGTTTGTAATGTTTTGTTGATGGTTACTTACTCCAATTTTCAACCCCTACCACATCGGTTTATAACAAGCATTATAATTTTCCTTATAAAATAAGAAGAAAACGTTCATGTCATTCATTGAATTACGATCTGTAAATATCTCTCTTAAAGCGTACCAGTTGTAGTAGTGCCTTTGCCAATCTCTAATTCCTCTCAAAATAAAAACAAAAAAATATCAAGAGAGAAACCATTTGTAACTTCCCAAACTGTGCGCTTAGGAATTCAAGAGTTACTCAAAAGGAAATGGAAGAATATCGGGCACACACACAACAACACATGGTTAAAGTTGATAACTAAAGGAAGGCAGCTATCTATCTTTCTAAACTCTAATGCAACAGTAGCTAGCCTAGCAGAACTCACGATCGATCCTCCACCGGCCGGTGCTTTCCAGAATCGCTTCCTTCTGGCCTTTCACACGGAACAGGACCGTCCTGCGTCACTTACAGCAGCCACAGGGACTGTCACAGGGCCAACCCTGCGAACAGAAGGGGGTGGTATATATATATAAGAGCACAAGCAATTGAACATGTACCAAATACCCGCCCAGTTGCAAGCCAAGTTGTTAGCGAAGGCACAAAAAGAAAACTACCATGCAGCTACAATATAGATGGCTAGTGATCTAGAAGAAGAATAAGAAATTATATTACCATTACACATGATCATCCTCCACCGGTCGGTGCTTTCCAGAATCGCTTCCTTCTGGCCCTTCACACGAAACAGCTCCATCACACACACACCAGTAAAGTTCCGATAGACTTGAGCTTCATATTCTTTCTCAGCATTTTTAGGATCAGCACTGTTCTTGGCCATGAATGTGATGAAGTAAATAGCACCCTGGACAGGTCGCCAATTGGCCTTCACAATATCACCAGCGACCAGCTTCCACCGCTAGACAAGACAAACACAGATGCATATAGGGTCGCCCCCAAGTCAATTGGTTGGGAAAAAGTACCAGCAACACAAAAAACACAGACAGATGGAGCAAAAGAGATTCCGAACCCCGTCCGGTGATTTGTTCGTTTCTTTGACAACGTGATCCACACACTCACGGAGAATCTTGCGGCACAGAGCTTTCTTCATGTTGACATGCAAAACCCCGTCTTCAAGGACATCCACCGGAGGCGATTGGACATAGTCAAATCCCTAAGTTACATAATTCAGAATGATTCAGCAGCAACCAACAAAACTACTACTCTTAACAGAAGAAAGAAAGAATACCTCGCTAGCAAAAACCTGCTCATAGTAGAGCGCCATCTTCTCCCTGTCTTCTTCGCTTTTAGGATACCAGGTTAAGGGCTTCCCCATAGTCTGAGTCCACTCTTCCTCTTCATCCTCCTCGCCGCAACTGCCCATGACGTCGCCGCCATCATCTTCATCGATCTTCTGCCTCTTCGGATTCGAGTCAAGCTCAGTTTTGCTCGAGGAGGAGCCAGATCCGGGAGCCGATTCGACGGCGACGCTCGATGATACTTCCGTAGGCAGCAGCGGGGTTTGTGAGTGGGGATCGTAGCCGAGGCTCGGGATGGCGGCGTCGGGATTCATGGTCGCCGGAAAAAAGGATTGGCAGGAGGAAACCCTAGGGAGGGAGGAACGCACGATGAAAATTGGGGATCTCTGTATTCTATTCTTCGTTGTTGGATTTGGGGATTTTTCCAGCGACCTCCTTTCTTTTTGTGTCACAACTCACACGTGTTACTAGGCACGTGAATGGATCTCTTTTATCTCTCTTTATTTTTATTTTTTTTCCGTTTCTAAATCCTTCACGCAATGTTTCCAAAATCTAAACAGAAGATAATTATTGATTATTAATGCGCCATTTACCTCTTTACTATTAGCTTAATGTTGGTATAGATCCCATTCTTTCTCGCGGCGCTCGCTAGTCCGCATTTCTCCGGCGAATTCCAGCAGCCCAGCAGCAGCGGGCTAGCTCCCAGGCTCCCACTTGTCGACTCCTCTGCAACTGATGGTGGATCGGATTAGTGATTAGCGCAGCGGCCCTTCCACCCGCACCAGGCCAAGATCATGGCCGGCGGCATCAACCTCATCCACTCCCCTTACGGCGACTACTGGCGCCAGTTCTGCCGCATCGCCACCCTCCACCTCCTCACCGCCAAGCGCGTCCAGGCCCTCCGCGGGAGACCGAGGTGCTAGCCCTCATGCGCACCATCGACGGCGAGCCAGCAGCAAGACCCTAATCCACGTAGCGAGAACTTGAAATTAGGAGATGGGAAGGCCGGCGGCGAGGACGATTGAACGTTTTTGTCTTTCATCACCGTTAATCCAAATTCTCCGCCAGAGGCGACGGCGGCGATGACTGGATAGGGAAGTTCATACGTTTTATGTTATTTTTATTAGTTTACCATCATTAATTTTGTTCTGTGGGTTACAGGTCCGGTAAAATTATTTAATTTTTTTTATTAATTGCTTATGTTTATTAGTCCTTCGCCTTTCCTGTTCCCTCAACTTTTCCGTTTTGTTTTTCATCATGATGATTATTATTTTACTCTATCTCTTGCGGTTACAACTTACAGGTAAGTATTCCAATCGTTTCCTTTCGGTTACTACTAATAATAATTTTTAATTATTCTCTTTGTGTTTATTTAGCACTAGTTCTCTTCGTTTTATTTATTTTATCTATTCGCTTTTTCGTTTAAGTCTCTTTATCATTTATCATTACTATTATTTATTATTACCATTATTCAGATAAGTTCTCCATCCTTTATTAATTATTACTATTATTTATTTATTTATTTATTTTCCTTGCTAATTATCCATCATTTTTTCTTCTTTCCAAAGCTTTTCATTCCTATTCTCTATAACTATGACTTATTTCTCAAAAATTGTCTTCTAAAAAAGAAAAAGTTAGTCTCATCTTTATGAGTAGGACGAGAAGTTTGTTTCGTGCTTACTGGACGATAATGACCTACGGCATTGTATTCTGCCGGTGATGGCCCTCTCCGTTGTGGAGCATATCAATATGGTGGAGTTTATCGTGAGGATGATCAAACGGCAGCCCCAAGATCCTTTTGGATTGCCTATTAGTTTTCTTGTTTTGCAGGTCACTCCTGGCTGCTGATGGTGCTTTATGGCTTTCTCAAAGGAAAGGTCGTGGTTTCGGTAGCTTCTCATAGGGCTGCTCATCTTGTGGCAAACCAGACCCTTTCATCGGCAGACTCCTTGGCCATAATCAATGTATAGTTTGATGGTGCGGTCAAGCGTGGTCAAGGAGGTAGTATCGACTTTGTAGGCTCTCTTGAGATAGGTAATGTTCTGTTTTCCTTTGGAAAATATTATGATGGGATCCAGGATTCATTTATAATAGAATGTTTAGCTTTATGTGATGCCTTACAGTGGTGTCTAACTCATTCCTTTCTTGTGTTAATTTTCATGGGGACTCTCAACTCTTGATTCGGCGGATGGTTGGAGGTGATTTGCATCATGATCGGGATGGAGCTATTTTGGAGGATGCTAGGAGCTTAGCTTCGAGTTTCTTAGTGTTTTGTTTCTCGCCAACTCATTAGGGCTGCCCATCATGTGGCATAAAAGGCCCTCTCATCGAGAGTTCGACTATTGGTCGACTCTCGCGCTTTTCTTTCTTCCTCTCTGTGATTTTCGTTTCAACTACTGAATTTGCAAAAAAAAAAAAAAAATGTTGGTATATTTTTATGTTACGATTCTATTAATCCGTTTAAGTTTATAAAAAATCATTCGCTCGAGATGACACATAAATAATGAATAGATAGATCGAACATTTAGACAAGTATTATCCTCATTTAAGAGTATAAAAATGTATCATTAATCTCATTTTCATAATGCTAATTAAGCCTCCATTAAAATGATATTGGTTAATCGATTGTCAAAAAATATAGAGTATAAAGCTCACTGGAATTCCCACACGATCCATATATAGTTTGAAACTGAAATGAAACCTCACAATCCTACATAAATGGTTCAATGCTCTCCTCTAGGAACAACATGCCACTAATAAAAAAAGAATTGGATTTATAAAAAAAAACATAAATGAAGAGTTGTTGATTCAAGTAAATCATATGCTAACAACTCAGCTAAAAAGAGACAATCAAAACTTGAGAGCAAACGAGAAAATTAGGTTTACATCCAATATACTAATAGACTCAATCAAAGTAATAAGCCACAAAATCAGACACTCCTTATCTACAGATTCCAGTAGCTTGAATAGAGAATTGACCTTAAGTTTCTAAGTAGATGGTATTGTCCATTACTGTTTTGTTAGTTATGATATACGCGGTTGACCTCTGTTATTGTGTTGTCATATTCCTATTTGCTGTCTATATTTCATCTTGTTTCATTTCACTTAGCTATGGAACAGCTACATGTGCCAGAAACACGTACACAATAATTATATATTACTTGATCATGGTATGATACGCTCATATTGTAGCTACGTTCACTGATCGAGACGGGCATCCTCTTCCGAGTAACATTATGTAAATGAGTCTTGATGTGGTGATGATAAGTTAAAGACGGGAGAAAAGTTAAAACGACAAGTAGCATCCGTAAATGGTTCGCATGCCCCCAATCTCCTCCTACCTCCTCCCCCCCCCCCCCCCAAATTCGAACCCTAATCCCCAAATGGCCAAAAATCCATCCACCGAATCCTCACACCAAAATCGAACAGGTCGTCACCTGCGAGGAATTAGTTCATTGCAATCGCTTTACCTATTTAATTGGTTGTTTGTGCATAGGATTTGTATGGTTTGAGTGAGGAGCTCTCTCTCGAGCATGACTAGAGCTATGCACGCAAGTTGATGGCCTTGAATGTAATGTAGTAATTGATACACTGGACAACTCGTCTGTTGGTCCTCAGAATATCACCAGTTTACAGCTTCATCACCTGGAAGAAAGACAGTCTGGTGTTGGTTCATCGGGTGCTCATCCATACGATCACTACTAGCGAAAATCTCATTATGGAGTTGTGAATTATAAGTTCCTCAGTGTCTATTCATTTGACGACTAGTTTAAACTGTTGTTTCTTAACAATGAGTTTGTGGATCCTTAACTAGAATTCCAACTTATCTTCATAGGGTTGTTAGATATGTGAAATCGATGGTAATTTTTTATAAAAATCTGCACAAGTTGAGACTAATTAAGTAAACACATTGTTGTAAACACATTGTTGTATATAAATGTTTTTTTTATAAGTGTGATATAGGTTTGTTTTACTGGATGCTTTGAGCAACCCTTCAAATTCGTGGCCTTGAATATGTTATGAGCTCTTAACTCTATCTATTCATCATTTAGAATTTTGATTGGATTCATTTCTTTCACCAAACCCCAGCACACTTTAGAAGTTCATAACTATCAAACAAAACTCTTTTTCATTTTCCTTAATTTTCTTCAACTTTATACATTATTTTTATTCGTCCACTTTCATTTTTATGATCATTATTTTTTGTTTGTTTGGTTTTCTTATAGTTTCTGTTTTCATCAATAGTTATTAGCTCTAAACTAACATTATAAAAATGGAGAAAGATGAAAAAGGAAAATGGATGAAAAAAATGGATGAAAAAATCTAGGAAGAGTGCATAAAAATGATGGTTCACCGAAAAAGAATCTAGCATTAAAAAAAGAAAAGAAAATATCATCTAAGAGGATGGGATATATTGTTTTGGAAAATATAAGTTAACTAGATTTAATGTATAAAAATCAACATAATATGTAAGAATATGATTTTTCCGATGGCTTCTAGAAACTCCTATTCTCTATTCATTTCATATCTTTCCAATTGAGAGTCTCTCTTGTGTGATACTCCTTATGTTATGTTTTCCTCCTTCCCAATTTTGCATTTTGTAATCGACGAGAGACTACTCTTTTGGACGGTGATCAAAGGCGGCGGGGAGAGCTCTTTTTCTATAAAATCTTTTCACTAAAAGAGTTCAAAATGTTGTCCCCTGTTTGAGATTAGATGTCTTCTTTCATCTACTTATCATGATTCTCGCCCTAGCATCTGCACCATCATAGAAACGATCTATATTTTGAGAGGTATCATAGATTCTAAAGGAACTTCTTAATTACCTACATTTCTCATCATACATTACACATGAGTAAACTGATGCAACAAGCCCGGTAGAAATGTGATTATCTTAGGTTGAGATCAGTGAGTGACATAGTTATCAACTTCGTTGTGAATTGCAATTGTGGATAAGTTGAAATTTGTGAAATTGAGGTGAGTGCAGCATATATGCCTTGCGTAGTTTCATGATGTTATTGTAGTTTTTTCATGTTTGGCTTATCGCTGAAGTCGTGGATTGGAAATTTGAGTTTTGTTATTCAAATGGCCGATTTCTTTAGTTTTTCCATTTTCTGCCCAGATACAATATTGGAATAAGAGGCTTTTTGGTTCTGGTCGCTAATTAAAGGTAGGTGAAGTGAGGGTGGAAGAGGTGATTGTCAACCACCCAATCCAGAATGACCTCCACTCTTACTGAATCCTTATAGTCCAAGTATTTGTTCTTCACACAATCAAGTAATTCTTGCACCGATAGCTGGATCGACAACTCCGAGCTTATACTTTATATTGTGTGCCGTCTCAATACATACGGCCGTGGCGTGGTACACACGTGTAGCGTTGTGCGCCGCCTCAATACATACGGC